CTGCTCTTTTTACCTCCAGTGTAAGACCTTAGCAGGGATATGCGACCACATCATCTCTCTGTCATCAGACTCTCTGGTCTCTCAGTCTGCCCATCTGGAGGTGGTCCACCTTACCAGCATCATGCCCAGTGAAGGGCTGGTAAGGACACAAACAAGCATTTACACCAAGGCTGTTTTTAAGGCCATCCTAACAGAATTTCTCTAATGTGAAAGGTGACAGTTGTATTGATGAACCCACAGAAATGTATTACCCAGCTCTATGGTTCCTCTCAGTTCTACAGACCATTTGAGCAACTTTTAGCTCATTGTTTTGGTTTTAAGGCCCACAAACTCTGCTCTCATTAACCTTGTAATCGACTGTACGCTACCTACGCAGCAACAAATGGCAAATATACAAAGTTAGAAACTAGCTGATGAGAATATAGAACATATGGAACATACAGAACCTAAAGAACCAGTTATTTCTTTTAGGAATCGATGGAGACCAAACCAAAGCTACAATGACTATTCGATGAATGAATGAATATTCGACTTAAATGGCACAAAGATGCGTCCAAATGAATGCTAATGTTCCTCCGCACCTTCTGTGCCTTCTGGATATGTAAATAAGCAACAGTTTGCCAACAACAACGACACAGTAATATGGCAGTGTTATGTTTTCATCTTCTTCCACTGCCCATAATCAATTAATGCAGCTTTAAATGGTATGGAAAAGTCAAAGTCAAGTCTTGTAATATCACCAAGTCTCGAGTCCTGGGGAACAAATAGCATTGAAGTCACAAGTCCTCATGAGGAAATAGGCATTTGAACTGTAATTGGACTATTTTTCACACAGCAGTTGAGCTTTCTCCTGTAAAAGCTGTCAGTGTTTTTACACAACTGAAGTCTCTTATATGCATAGCACTAACAGTTAAATATTCAAGGTGTGTGAATATGCACTGCCTGCCTTTTGCTGTCTTAATTAATTATTTACTTTACCTGGTCAAAACTTGAGACTTGAATGTTTCTGTGCTTTTAAGTCTCAACTCAAGTCAGGTCTTTAGCAAGTTGTGTGATAAATCAAAGGAAAAACATTAAGAAATATGTGGAAACAACATAAATGCAGACGCTTCTGTACAGGGTTTGAGGGGGTCACTGAACGAGTATGAAAACAGTTTGAATCATACACTTTCAAAGTCAACTTTGCTGAACACCTATGGGACAGAGATTTTGCATCAAGGTGTTAAGACAAATCCACTTCACCAGCATCATCAAAACACCAAATGTGGAATATGTCTTTTGGGAAAATGGTCTTGAGTGGTGTAGTACAGTTCCTCAGTTTTGTGATCTAAATCTGACTCAAGTCCAAGTTTGAAGTCACAAGTCTATCGCTCTGGCCAACACAGAGACAGAGACACAGATACAGACCCAAACTCACAGATGCTGAAGATACATATCATGTTCAATGTTCAAAAAGTCTGAAACCGCGAAAAGTGGTCTCAGACTTTTGGACCTCGCTGTATTTCTCTTCACACTCTGTATGATACTGAATCCTCCTGCTTGTGTTTCAGGGGATGTACATCAAATCGACATATGATGGACTCCACGTTATCACCGGAACCACAGAGAATGTGAGTTTTTATTTCAGTCAGTCTGAAGCTTAACACTCCACCAACCACAATTTATGGTCTCATATCTCACTATGACAATGAATCCACGCTTGCTTTGTTCCCATTGTCCTTTTCTGTCCTCCTCTTTGTGTCTCTGCAGTCTCCAGCAGACCAGTGTAAGAAGATCCATGCGGGGGATGAGGTGATCCAAGTCAACCATCAGACAGTGGTGAGTTAAAAAGCTTCCAATCACAGGAAATGTACTGTCTTTATTCTCCATCCTGTGTTACGTTGAGGAGCTGTCAAGGTACATGATGTCTGCTACCACCACCACCACCACCACCACCACCACCGCCGCCGCCATGGTGCTTCCTGTCCTGTGCCTGTGTCGCTATGTAGGCTAATTAGGCTTGCTGTGGGAGCAGATTATAGGATGATTGTTACAAGACCTTTGTTCAGTCCGGCGTGATTGTCTGCTCACTCTTTCTGGAATTTGTTTCCATTGTCGTAAGAAACCCCTGAAGGAGGCGTCAGGTTTGAAATGTGAACTCGTGTTCCACTTTCAGACTTGAATAAGTTGTACTTCTGCCTTCAACTCGTCACATCAGAGTGAGGCACGAAAATGGGCAGCCATTTTAAATGGAACGGTGGCTTGTGAGCGCATGTGATTGAGCGTGCTGTCTATTGCCTGTGCTGTCAGCTTTGGCACAAACGATTTGTTCCAGTGTTTATTTGAGATTTCTGAAGGTGGGGGGGGGGGTAAAATGGTTGTGTCTGTGTGTAGACATCTTTTGTGTGCTTTTCCCTAAGTATTTCCTCGTACGTCTCGGTAGGTGCTGCTCATGCGAAAGTGTGCATGCAGGCGCTGGGGAGCGGCGTTGATTGACGCGTGAGGGAGCTGCGTGTTATCTCTGTCCCTCTCTCTCCTCGGGGTGACAGTGCAGATCGCACCCTGCCAGGCTCTTAGCTCCAACCCCTCATTACTCCCTCAGCTAGACCCTCACCACTCTGATCCCTCGCTCTGGGGGACGAGATAAGCATGGGGGAGACAGAGGTGTGTGTGTCTATGATGGGGGGGGGGGTGTGAAGCAGTCAGGGGATACTGGGATGAGGCAGAGCTGGGAGCGTGGGGCGAAAAAGGGAGGAGGAAGTAAAAAGGGGATTTAGGGAGAAGAGGAAGAGGATGAAAAGAGAAGGGGGAGAACAGCAGAAGGCAGTCTCTAGTCAATATAACTTTTTTTTCAATCGTAAATGGAGCTGCTGAGGAGGAAAGATGGACACAGACTACCAGCAAACTCTCTGTCAACATCATGGCTGATAAGTTTATCTAGCGAGGCTCCATATTTAAAAATTAGATTAGTGTGAATATTGAATGAACAAATTCCATTACATTATAGAATCATTATGTAGGCCTATCCCACGTATTTAGCAACAGCGCTGCCTTCATGTCTATGCATGAGCTTCTGTTTGAGGCCCACTTCAAAACAGGAGTTGCAGTTTTTAGCTCAGCTTCTCTTTTGAGGTAAAATGTGGAATTTGCTCAAATAACAAACTGATTGTTTGAAGAGGCAACATAATTATGTGGAGGTAATAGCATCTGGGAAAATAATGAAGACCCCAGGGATTCGAAAAACCTCTCCAGCAGCAGTTTATGCTCTATTATTACTTTGGTAGGTCTCTCCCTGTTTCCCTTTGCTCTCTGCATGTTTGCATAAGAGAACAGTTCTAAACCAGCCTGGTTAGGACAGGCTTTGTGTTTGCTGTTAACGCACACTGGACAGTATGTCTGAACTCACAGTTTAGTTCACTTTGAGTTCAGTTGATTCTGGATTTACCTTTGGCTTAAAAATGTCCAACACCTTTAGAAGCATAGTGCCAATACAGTACCTTATGTATTGTCAAATTTCTATTTCCATTTTAGCCACGTTGTTGCCACTTTAGTTTGTCTGCAGTTTTTTTTTTTCGACTTCTTACAATTTCACTATGTATCTATCTCAAAATTGAAGGTTACTCAAATTATTCTTTGCTTATTATTCCAGGTCTCCAAGTAGACAACAATATCCTTCCTTTTACACAACTGCAAAAGTAAGAAGTTACCGTAGGAAAACATAAAAAATCCCAATGAATGTAGCCCATCTGGTCAAAAAGGCTTTATTGGGCTAAACTAGGAGGTGGCCTTTACCATTGATGATTAATCACAGCATAATTTAACCAAAAGCAAAAATGAGCAAAGTCTCTCTTTGAACAAAGATTATTCACAACTCTGTAGGAATTATCCTCATATATAATTATTCAATAACAGTAAGAAGTATATTGCAGTAGAGTAAAACAACAAAGAAACCCAAAACCTTGTTAGTACGTTGAGCCGGAGTTGGCATTAGAATAACTACTAAGGCTGTGTCAGCCACTGCCAGTTACAAGCTAACAAGCTAGCACACAATGTAAACAAATAACAGATGCTAACTACGCTTACCGTTCTGATTAACCATGTCTGGAGGGGAAGTTTAACAACAGAAAATTACTTTGTGCAATGTTAAAGGTGTTATTTGTAGTCACAACCCTGACTTATCACGACTCTTTCAGCTCATTGTTTTGTATTACAGCACACAAGCAGCAGACAGCTGCTCCAGTGTTGGAAGGTTTTTCTCCAGGAAAACACTTTGAAAACTCACTGTAGTCTAGCTGCCCAGCACCAAACTGCAGACAGACAAAGTCAGCAGTTATTAACTGGTGTGGAGTGGTACCCAAAGAGCCAGATATTTTCCTTGGACTTGGTTTAAAACAAAACCAGAGCTGAGAGGAGAGTGAATAACATTCTTCACATGTCCAGAAATATGACTCCACTAATGTTGCTCTGTGGCTGCTGGATGTGTTAAAAAAAGGCGTTTGCTTGCTAACTAACCAACAACTTTATAAGGTGATAAATCAGATCACAATTGAATGATTGCAGTGTTGAGTGAGTCCTGGTGCGTCCTAGTACACCTCCTTTTTGTTTTGGACAGTAGTAACCTACCACTGTTGTCGCTGACCATCGCTAGCAGAACTCAGAACTCTGACCTGGGCCAAAGAGAACAAGAACCGGGCCACTAAATGACACAGGCTGGTCATCATTATGTCAGGAATAAGGTCAGAGCGGTTCTGTCTTTGCGTGTGTATATGTGTTGTTTGTGTGTGTGGTGGCCTCTGTGGACACTTACAGTAGCTGAGACCAGTGTAGCCAATCAATGGCCTGACGAGTGCTACGAGCTCTGGAGACAGGCTGCCTGGAACCACGAGGAAACGCTGCAGTCAGCACTCCTTTTGTACTTTTCTCTTTGGCTTCCATAGAACTTAAGCATACTGACTTAGACATGTTTTATTTCAATATACCATTGTTTTGAGACCACTGGTACTGTGTGTGGTTCATTGTGGAAGTGTCTCGCTGTACTGATAGCAACAAGGTTCGGTAGATAAAGACTCATTGTTGTAATCCATATAATAGCAGTTTCCTGGATATCATCTGAACCATATAAAAACTAGAAAGCTCTCAGACAACTTATACCTTACTGCAAACAGATTTCTAAATTTGTTAGATTAGTCATGTTTCAAACATTTTTAGATAAACCTATTTTAACATTCACAGTTTTACATCAAAAGACACATGGTGATGGACAATTATACAGATTTACTGTTGCAGTCCATCCTTTCTGGGAACATTAGGTATTTTTCTCTCAATTTCAACCCTTCGTCCAGAATAAAATGATGTTTTTTTGTTATCACCAGAGCTGTTCCCATTAACCTGGATTTATGTTGATTTTGTCAGACAGCGTCACAGATAAAAATAATCATTTTGTCACCGCAGTCAAACTCATGACCACTTCGTTATGGCTGTTTAAATTTGTCACAGTGCTGTAGTGCCTTGTTGGAGAAATCAAATTTTGCAGGCTTGCTTGAATTGTATTGTGTTATACAGGCCAGTGTGTCTAATCAATAAGCAGCCCACTATAAAAGCTTCACAGTATAACACAATGCAGTTCAACATTAGCCCACACTAAAGCCTCTAAAACAACCACAGTGTTGAATCAACGTGTCTTAAAAACAACCTCAACAAAAAACAAACATTATTATCTTCTTATTATCTATATTATTATGATCTATTACCAGGCTGATGTATTAGACTGCATTAACTTTAGCTAGGTGTACCTAATAAACTGGAAACTAGTCTAGTTTGCCAGATAGGCCACATTTAGAACAATTTGGTAAACAGTTATTGAGAAAAGCTATAGCATAAAAAACTTTTTATGGGCTCATCCAAATACTATCCACCATATTTGAAGACCAAGTTGGCCTGTAATAACCTTACTCTTAAACCAAGGAATTCAAAAATAAAGGAAATTTGGCTCTGCTCCACTGTTCAGGAGTGAAAATGTGAGGTATTTTATAAGGAGTCACATGGTTTACTACTTTCATCAAAATGTCATTTGTTTCTCCTAGGCCCTCTCTCTCCCTCCTTTCCTATCATCTCTCTCCTGTCTCCGTCTAATAAGGGCATAAAATGCCTAAAATAAAAAGATAAATGATTAGTAGCATATGGTGTTTTGGACAGGTAGTATCAGAACCCATGTGTGTGTGGTGGTTAATATTAAGCGTAATATTCGTGTGTGGTGGTTTTCCTCAGCAGATTTATATTTGCTCCCAGTACATTCTGTACAGCATATGTGTGTGTGTGTTTGGTTGGCATCAGTTGTTTCGGTAGCCCGTGTGTGTGTGTGTGTGTGTGTGTGTGTGTGTGTGTGTGTGTGTGTGTGTGTGCTCCTCAGGTGGGCTGGCAGCTGAAGAACCTGGTGAACGCTCTGAGAGAGGACCCATGCGGAGTCATCCTCACGCTGAAGAAGAGGCCCCAGAACACCCTGAGCTCCACACCGGCTCTGCTCAGGAACGTCCGCTGGAAACCACTGGGCCTGCAGGTAAACACCAACAACACATGGACACGGGCTTCGCTGCGGTGTTAGAACAGGCTGTTCTGCCCAACCTCACCTGCGAAGTGGTAAACTGACAGTGGTAAACTGACTCAGTGGCATTTTGCTCCCCAAACATCACTGTATTTGAAATTTTAACAAACAAGCAAGAGAGTGTAATTTGACAATACTGTCTTCCACATTTATACCTGTGCACTTCTGATACTAACAGCTGAGGATTTAAGGGGGGGTGATTTAGCCCTGTGTACAGTAAGCTGTGTACCTCTGGCTTTATCTTTGACTCACTCTCAGCTCTTGTTTTTACTGCCCACACTGCATTCTCCTATTGGCATTTTAAAACAAATCTTTTCAAAGTAAACTTGTCCACTGTTTGACCTTGCATCAATCCTCCTGTTGAGCATTTCAACAAATCTCTTGCTGTACCGCTGGCACACTTCAAAGCCATTCACAAATGTGTTGGTAGCTAAACCTCTACCTGCAGAGAATTTCTGTATACCAAAAGCATATTTTTAGATAGATATCATTCAAATTTGAATTAGAAAAGAGGAAAAATATCTAATTAAATCCTATATTTGCACTTTGGAGTTGTGTGAATGATTCGAATGGTATAATGTAGCCTGCTCAGGATTTAGTGCAGGGCAATACAAGGTCACCATCCACGCTCTCACTCACATTCACCTTCATCTTTACTGAGACTTTACTCTTGATTCATTCAACCTTTGCCCCAAAGGATATCTCTTTTTCAAAAGAGAGTAAATTTTTAATGTACTGTACGTCTAAAAAAAAAAGGAGGTGGAGCGCTTATTTGAAGGCTTACAGCTCAGAGCTGGTGTAGACATTTCACTTAACAGCAAATACTTTGTAAATCTGTCACTCAGTCATTCAGAGTCCAAAAAAAAATCACTCAACAATTTTGGTGCACAGAAAGAACAAGTTGTGCCCGAGACGGTCAGAGGGGTGAGGCGAGGGCTAGTCTGACGCTGCCTGAGTGCTTTGTGAAGCGGCGACTGTCTTGTCAGACCCCTGTGTTCCACGGCTGCTATTTTTAACCTCGCATCAGGCTAATTCATTTACATGCTACACGCATGCTTTGATCTCTGCTCGGCGCACGGCTGCTCTTTGGTATTTTCTCTTTCTTTCTCTGTCTGTTGTTTTTCTTTATCCCCCCCTTTCAGAGTCTCCTCCAGCATGTCTCTTCTTTGTTCTCTTCAAGCGGCTGCTGTTTGTGTTTCTGTTTGTTTCTACGGGTCTGTGAGCATATAAATGCAATATTTAGCAGTTTACTGTACATGTGAGCGAACATGTGAGAAACAGATTCAGCTACCCAGAGTGTTTTGTGGAAATTGTTTCTGTAATGGCCTAGAAACCATTAAACCCTTGTAATAACCATAGAGCTTAATGCAACTTCATCACCATCTCGGTCTTTAACAAGCTGGAGGATTGTTCTTGTTTCCAGGTTGCTGTCTTGTTAGATCATCACTCTTAGTTGTAACCATGAGCTTATCGTTGCATTTGCTGCGTGCTACAGCAGAGGATTGTGGGAATTCTACCCTGATGGGCTGCTAAGACACAAACGCGCCGTGAGCACCCAGATCAGAGCGCTGAAATATCTGTGGGAGAAGAGAAGAAAGGAGTGTTTTAGATTTGTTCTCTCTCCGAAAGACTGGAGCTCTTAATTATTCATAAGCAACTACAGGCAGCTCCACTGGCTCTGAAACAAGAGCCTCTACTCAGCAAATACTGGAGATAATTCACTGAATCCAAAATACCCTGCTAAACAGCCATGTGTGTGCGTGTTGGGATGGGTGGGTGTGCACACACATCCGAGCATGGCGGTATGCATGCCTGTCCATCTGTATGTGTCAACTGTGTTTCTTTGCGCGTTTGTGCAAAAAGATGTTTTTCCGTTATCAGTCCTGTCACTCCTTTGAGAGACAAAGGAACTGGGTCACTGCACTCTGTAAGCTTGGTTTTGGATACATTTTGTACATAGACACTCCCAAAACAAACACACACACACAAACACATGCACACTCATACCTCTAAGCCTGGTTTTGGAGGATGAATTGCGCGGCTGTGAAGTTTAGCCCAAATGTGGCAAACGTTCAGCTGGATTATAACTGAATCCACAAAGGAAACAATTTATCTCTGCAAATTATCATGTGATTCCAGCCCCAAATCCCTGCATGGCAACCTCTTTTATTCTACGAAATAATGGCACATATCTCTCTCTCTCTCTCTCTCTGTCTCTCTCTCTCTCTGTGTGTCTGTGTGTTTGCATGTGTGTCTGTTTCGTCCATGGACAGATGGAGTAAAAGCAATTTGATGATGCACTGTAATTACAATGATGCTGGCAATAATTTTAGAAAAGATGACGAGGATTACTGTGACGATGCATATTACATACATATCTGCTGCGCCGCTGCAAAATGTGCATGTAGGGAGTGAAGTGTGTCCACAATACAGGTCACTTCACCAGTCACACATGTGCCTCACATCGTCCGTGACCCCGATTTCATAAATCTGTTCTATGTTTAGACATATAAATTATTTCTCTTTGTAAATACCTCCTATTTTAGGTAACATGTATTGGCCAGTTATGTATTATTGATGGAGCAGCTGAATAGGTGAGGGGTTATGACTTACTTAGAGTACATTCCTTCTGTCTGTTTTTATGTTTGAGGTAGAGTTTTGGACTCAGTGACACAAAATGCAGACTTCTACCACCCTTTCAAAAGAAATGTTTAATCCAAAATCTTTATCATGATAAATTACTCCATAACAGTAAATCTAATAACAACTGAAACAATCTCACCTGAAGGTTCATGTAGTAGCTGTTCTCCACCTTTCCATCATATCCCATGATCTTCATCAGCAGTCGAGGTCTTAGGCTAAACTTTTAATCCAACATGGATGAGAAGCCCTCAACATGCTCAGAAAAAAATGGAAATTCATCTTCTGATGAAGATCAGGGGATATGACGAAAAGGTAGATACTGTAACAGCTAATAAATAGGAGTCCAGGTGAGATTGTTTTGTCAAACTCTGGAGTTCAGTAATGATACGGTAACTTTCATTTTGAAGGAACAGTTTGACAGTTTGGGACATGTGCGTATTTGCTTTCTTACAGAGTCACTCTCATATCTGTATCGTAAATATGAAGCCACAACCAGCAGCCGCTAAATTTACCTTAGCATAAGGGCTGGATACAAGGGGAAAACAGCGAGCTTGGAGTCTGGTTGCCTGGCAACCTCACAGTGAGAACAAGACTCCAGGAAGTCCCTGCTCCCAGCCAGCACACAAAACCACAACGTGTTGTTTTCATGCTTATATACATTTTTATTTTATTTTTTTGCACAGATTAAATAAATAAGATAATACATGTTAATTGGTAAGTTTTAGAGATGATTGATTGTTTGAGTAATTGATTTTTATGTATTATCAGACACAAAAACCAAAAAATCCAAGGGATAATATGATATGACGTGACGTGAAAAACCCTGATTTCCAACATGGTCCGAAGATGACAAAGAAACATAAAAGGGAACAAGACAGTCAACATAAAAACTAATCAATACAATCCTGACAACCAAAACACATCACCACAATTTAAACAGACAAAAATAATACTACAACATCAAAAACAGTAACAGTGTTATTGCAGATTTCATTAGAAACCTGCTACCCTATAAAACAGTTTTATAAGCCGCTCTCATGTTTAAAAGCTCGATGTTCCATAACATCGTATCAGTGTAAAAAAGAGGAACTTCAGGCTGCATTATTCACTTGAGGCACTTTACATGAACACACACTAGCCCTGGTATTCATAGTCATGCTGAGTACGGACCATTGTTATCTGAAAACAAAAGTATTTGAGGAGCATACCCACTGATAGTATTGAACATATGATACAGCTTCTGTTGTTCCACTCTGAGCTGTACTGGCAGCAGTCCTACGCTTCTGAATTTATCTCTACCAACATGAGTTTGACGGAATGCATTTCCTAAATACAGAGTAATATTATTTTGCATCACCTGCAATTTGTTCCTAAAATTAGCTGTCAAACCACTGTACCAAGAAGAACATGCGTAATCGAAATGACACTGTACCAACGATAACACGAGAAGTTTGTCACCAGGAAAATTGAAAAGCCTTGTTCTGCGAAACAGGAACTTGAGTGTGCAGGATAATATTTTGGCAGTAATAGATTCAGAGGAGAGTGACTGGTCCGATTCCCAAATATGAGACACTTATCTGAGAAACTGTGTCAGTTGCAAGAGACTTTCAACTTGTTTGTTCTCAACAGTTTCTTCTTACTTCCAAACAAATAGCAGCATCATCGGCATACAACAAAAGCTTACATGCCGCTGGCATATCTGATCAATTAAGCAGAAGCTAGCGGGCAGATTATGTTCCCTTTGGACAGAGGCAATTTAGCTTTTTCCACCTGTTTCCAGTGTCTGTGCTAAGCTAAGCTAACAGGTTCGTAATGGCGGCTTGTTTTTCATGCAGTATTTGGTAGGGCCAATATCAGCAGCTGATGATTTTATATTAATTATATTAGATGGTCTTCAGCTTATCAGTATAGGGCTACATGTTGGTTGATAAGTGGAATGAAAATGCAGTTTATAGCAAAAATTGAACGTTTTATTTTAAGCTGTAAAATGTTGTACTGTATTGTACTGTAAAAGTTAATGCAAAGCTTAGTCACAAATATCAAAATCTAAGGTATCTTTATCAAGTTGCATGTTTGTTTATGTCATGTCCTTATGAAAAAATGAAAATTGGCATAAATATCATTATCTACTCCAGTTCAAGTATTATGTTGTTGATTTAATATACCTTTTTTTACACACATTTTAACATGTCGCAGAAGGAAAAACACTGCTGTAAATAATTAAATTAATGATGACTAAATTCCATTTAGCTGCTTCAGTTTCAGGGTCCTGGTATTATTCATGCTGGCTCACCGTCACACTGTCGTGACTGGGACACCTGAATGGAACTAGTTAGTTATTGTGCTTTTCTTATCTGCTGTGAAAAAGGCTAGTTATGTATTGAATATTGCAATGTGAGTAGATTTCATTCACAATGTTGGCAATTGAATAAAATTAATATCAGTTCATCATCCATCCCACTGTAAACTTTTTAAACACAGACAAATATCATGTTAAGCGTATTAGAGTATGTGTGCGTGTTCAAGTGAGCTTGCGTGTGTGTGTGTGTGTGTGTGTGTAAAGGCAGTGGGATGGATAACATTAGTGTGGGAGGGGTTTGAGCAGTGGATTTTGAGGTAGTTTGGAGTGGGCACAGCAGGGGTCAAATGGTTTAAGTGCTGTTTTAACAGACTGGAATTTCTCCTGCTGTGGAAGTCCCATCTCTCTCTACTTCTACGACCCCCCCCCCCTTTCCATGCAGGCAGCAGTGGGCTGTAATCACTAAATTACTGTTTTCACTCTCAGCTCCAGTCACCACACTACACAGCTCCCCCGCCTCACTCTCCCTCTCCTGCACTCTCTCCCTCTGTCTCTCTCTCTTTGTCCTATTTCCTTTGCTCTCTTCTCTCTTGCTCACATCCCTCTCTTTCCGCCCCGTCTTCATTATTTATCGTGAAGCCGTCTTACTGTACGCTGCCTTCATGAGAGGACGACTGTGCGGGGGAAAGAGATGAAGATAGAGACAGGGCCTGGGGATGGTGGTAGTGAGGGAGGGAGAGGAGGGAGGGAGGGAGGGGGAGGAGGGTGGAAAGTTTGGAATATGAAATGAATTCCACTAATGCACTGTTGATGAAATGATGAAACACTGGGCTTCCTTAATGAGAACGCTGCCTGCCTCGCCATCGCTCAGTCTCTGTCTCTGTTTATCCATTCTGTCCACACTCACATCTCCTCCCTAAAATGAAGCGTATACTCCTCCAACATACAGTAAAACACCCCATTCTTCAAAATCTGGGAAGCCTCATCCTTGGGGAGAAACTGTCAGCACAAGCTATGTATTTGTCACCCCAGCTGTTCCGACTGAGAACAAATATAATTCATTTAAAACTTGGAGTGAGTTTCCATGACATCAGAAGCGAGGCGTCCTGTCCTCGCGGAGGACCCGATGACAAAAGAATCTACGTGTCCTTGAGTTAGGAGGTAGGAGGCCACGCTAGCTTTCCTCTGTCCTCCTCCTTCTCTTATAGCGGGGGGTGAGGAGAGGATGGGAGAAGAGGGGTTGTCATGGGAACAGACATGGAGAGCCCTGTGTGAGTGAAGAGGCTTGAGACAAAATGACAGAATAGTGAAGCGATTGAACGTGGGAGAGGCTGCACAGTCAGAAAGATATAAAAAGAAAGACAACATACACAACATGGCAGCTCTGTGGAAATAACTCTCTTGTTTGTGATTCAGTATTAAAACAAGCGCCGGCTGCAGTAAAAGGAAGATATCACAAATAAAAGGTTCCCTTCCCGCGTCACACTGTAAATTGTGTGCTTGTTTGTGTTTCTGTGAGGTAGGGAGAGATCTAATGCTCAGTTTCAGGTTGTGCTCTGAGATCCCCTCACCATCCTCCAGTTATTCTTCAATGAAAAACTGCTGAAATAGAGTCATTCTCTCCCCCTTTCTCTCCTTTTACTCTCTCCAGCCGGTCCCCACCAGCCCCACCAGCACTTCCCCAACACCCGGTGGAACTTTAGGCATGTCCAAAATGGACGCCCCCAGCATGCAGGACGTCTATATCCTCTCTCCTGTCTCCGGACTCTACAGCACCAGGTCAGACGCTCGCGCACACAGATGTTTGATGGTGATCATTATGTTGATTATTATGATCCAGCTGATGATACTGATGACAGCGATGATAACAGCTCTGCTCTCCCCAGGGAGGAGCTGGGTCTCATGTCATGTGACGACATCAGCCGCTACAGCGTGAGCTCCCAGTCCGGCTCCAAAGGTTCAGAGGCAGTCAGCTACTACCTGGACCAGGACAGCGGTCAGTACTTCTCCTTGTTAGAGGGAGATGGACCCCCAGGGCCTGACTATGACAGGGGCCGCAATACAGGGGTTCGTCGGCGGGACAAGACCCCCACCCATGGTAAGACAGAGAGTGCAATCCAACAGTGTGAATGAGGCAGAAATGGCTCCAGCTCCCCGTATTTGTTCTGAGGAACAGCATGCTCTCTCTCACTTTTTGTTTTCATATTTTTCTCAAAACTCCTTCCTTCTGTGTTCATCACTCGCTTCATGGCTCTGCTTCTTTGTGTTTTCACCTCGCGTACACACGTCCCAAAAACACTGATCACATGCCAAAGGGTCAGTCCAAAAACACTGTCTCCAGCTCCCTTTCTGCCCCACCACCTGTGTCCACCCTTGTCCGAGACAGCTTCCTAGACATCCTGTACCTCCCTGGGAAAGCCTCGAGGGACTGCTATGATGTGTGAGGTGAGGGTCATGTGACAGACAGAAGCATCGGAAACCTATTTATGATAGCCTTGCTAGCTATACATATATTAATATATTAATAATATATCAAATGACTCTGTTAAGCGTGAAAGGCATCGCTCATGAAGACCCACAGAGAATTATCACCCGGCTGCAGTTTCCCTTCAGCCACACTGAGTATTGTCTTTAAGCTCATTTTTTGGTTTCACTGCTGACAACTTACTGTTTTAGCTGACTCTCACTGCGTTGTTTCCAGCCACAGCTGTATTTAGCAAACAGTCTACCTGCCCAGCATCAAACAGCAGACAGACAAAAGACAATTGCTATTTAGCAGGAAAAGATATCTCACTTGGAGACCAAAACAGAGCTAAAAGGAGAGCACATATTGACATTAGTCAGGTCGCCAGAAACAACATGCATTGAGGCTACTTTCGATTCATTTTGCTTTCTAATCCACGTATTATAATTCTATAACAGAATATTAATTTTATTTGTGGATGTGTGGTCCAGCAACTTCAACCATTTCTGTTCAGTTTTCTGAATATTTGGCCCGAGCTGAAGTAATCTCAGTTAACAGTGACTTTGTACTAAAATGTAAAAACTTCACAATTGACATTTTTTATGAAAATCCACAGCCTTGTGCAGCTCACCAGTGGTCATCAGCCAACAGTTAACATGCTAACAGATTAGCTAGGAAGCACTACTGCTAGCTCGGCTACCCATGTTGCAGTACAATTTACTAACTGTGAATATTAAACTACGGGTTTAACCGTAAAACCTGAAAATGTGGCCATGTGATCTTTGCCTCCCACGTCAGAGCAGTTCCTCAAGGGTCTTCCGTACCTTCCCCCCTCACCTGCACACACTTTGTCTCACCTGTCCACCCCTCCAGCTGTCTCCCACGCTGTCTCTCAGCCACTGCCTTCCCGAGACACCCCCACTCCCTCCCCCCACAGCCGACTCTCTGATTGCTGATTGGTCGTTCCAGGTGACCTCAGACCTGTTTCCATGCCTCCCGAATATAACTGGATGGCCGAGGCCAAGGAACCCAGCATGGGCAAGAGAGGGAGCCGAGGTACACACACACAAAAACACAAATACATGCAAAAACACGGGCCCTCACAATCTTGACACAAACGGGTCGGACTGGTGCCGTGCTTTGCTCCATACTCAGCTCAACACATTTCAGCTCATCCTCTGGTTATCCATGGTGGTGTGGTTGTGTGAGGATACATATCTGCCAGGTATGTATCTGACGGAGCGACAAATAAACATAAATGCAAGAAAATTGCATTTATACAGCCGCTCTGGAAATGAGGGTATTTCTATGTGACCAGTTCTAACCAGCTTCACCCTTTTGCGGCGAGACTCGATCTGTATTCAACCGCGGATCCTCCACTCTACCATCAGAAAGTCTATGAATAACATTAAAGCACAATACTACTGTCGAGGTCCGCCTTTCTCCTTCTCTTTCTCTGAGTCACTTTTTAGTTTTTCACATTTAAGTGTATGGATAATAAACAAATAAGGTGAGAAGCTTTTTCTATCCGGAGTCAAAGCAGAATAAAACTTTCTGTGAGTGACAAGATTTAGCAGTAGTGCCCTCCAAATCAGCATAATCACTGCAAACAGATTAGCTGTGTGTCCCCAGCTCTGGATCCATATCAGAAGCTCTGAGGCACTTTTATCCCTTTCTGTTGAGTTTTTATCTGTAAGGGTCTATTCACCCTCATCTGTTTCTACTCTGGGGTTCTCCCTCGACTCTACGATGATATCTCCCTCCGCCTCTGTGGTTTTCCTCTCTCTGTCATTGGTTCTGTTTAGCCTGTCCATCCTCTAACTGCTCCATGTTACCTCCATTCCTCCATTTCCCCACAGATTCGGACAACTCCCTGCTGCGTTACCTTAGCGACGACAAGATCCTGGTGATCGAGGAGGAACCCGAGGGTCCAGGCAGAGAGAGCCGGCGGGATTCCACCAGACGCTCTCGGCGCAAGAGCCGCAATCCCAGCAGCCCTAGCTTTCCCATCAGTCCCTCCATGCTGTCCTCCACCCTGCGCCTTGACCAGCCGCCAGACGCTTTGCCTGTATGTACACAGTTGTTTCCAGCTGCTTTCTGTAGAATAGCACTTTACTGTCCCTGAGGGGATACTCGGCTTGCAGACAGCAGTAAACAAATAATCAGCCAATCAAATCAGTCCATCATCTGCTCCTTTGTAAATGTAGTTATAACTGTGTTTATATGTCTAACGTTTTGCACTGCTGGTTGCACTTATCAAGTCATCATCATGGTAGATATATTTTATGGTCACTTCAGTCCATTGGGCAGTAAAAAAAAACAGCTTCTTTACTTTTGTGTATTACGTGGTCTTTGAGGAGTATGGTTGCTCATGAAGTTGACGTCTATTATGTGTACACATGGACAAATGCCTGCACATGCCATGTTAATTTATAGTGATATTCTATACTTTTATTCTGATCAAAAAATCCCATGAAAAGACCAAAACCAACAATGAATTGATCCTAGTAACAAGTATTATCTATGTAAATACAAATTAATACAGCTAATTCCTCTGTGCCTTCGACCTAGACTGTTGTCCAAAAACTATTAAAAACACATCAAAGAGCCACACTGTCGGGAGGCACATGGGCACTGTAGTTTATTTTGAATCCCAAATACATTATCCTGCTGCTGTAAATACTCAATTGTGTATTGATCCGTGGCCGAAAAGTCCTCAACAAATGCCTTCCCATTTGAATATCATTAACTAAAAACTACAGTGGACACATTATTTTTTTAATATTATTTTCATTGAGTTTTGTAAACAAAATAAATTAGAGGAAATGGTTACATAAACAATTATAAGAAGAATAAGAATAATAATAAGTAAGAATGAACAAAACATAAATAACAGTAAAAAAAAATAATAAAAAATGACATAACTTGAACTGCACAAAAAAAATGAAACTGTACATGTGTGACCTAGTTTTAAGATTTACATCTTCAGTCGGGCTAAAAAGGGCCTGGGTGTGCATCCCCTTGAGGGTTGTGACACCAACCATGGGCTGCAGCATCCAAGGGTCTGGTCCAACTGGAGACTTGTCATTTCACTGCTGTCCCTATCTAATAAATATAATCTGGAAAAAAAGCCTTGGCATAGATTTGGGAGGAGGAAAAGGAAGGGTGAGTTTGGATTTGATCTACTTTATAATCTGCACATGAATATTCCAGACACTCAGATGTGTCACACCAAAATGAGCCTCATATCAGATATACATTACCTTATGCCTGCAAAAGGGAAAATCCCCAAAACCCATAATACAATGGCAGTTTCACAAATGAAAGTTGGAAAGAGCTAACTATTTAAAGTTCAAGAGGTGTTTTTGTGGAAAATCTCACAAACGGCAAAAAAAAAAAAAAGATGAGAAGAAGAACTTGAACTGTAGCCTCAAACTTTGACCAATTTGAAAAATTTCAATGGATTTGTCCAGTGGATTATCTCAGCTAACACTTTAAGTGTCATAAAGGGAATTATGATTCTACAGTGGACACTAATGGGTTAAATGAAATTACTGAATTTATTTGCACTTAAAAGAATGAAAGAAGCAGAACTGTGTTCTCTGAAGCTAATAAACAGTGCTTGTAAGAAAATGAAAACAGTCTTTAAGGAAGTCCAAAGTCCATTAACTAATTACATCCAGGTATTTACAGCAATAGGTTCTTCAATGGTTTTCCAGACTAAAGATCTGACTAAAAAACACAGAGGAGCGTGTACGTCTATCTAAACCCAGAAAGAGTACAACAAGTTCATGACAAACAGGAGTTATGAAACAAAACTGTGCGGTAGCTGATATCTAATGTACCAATTTGCTAATGAAAGTTATATTCTTTAGCTTGATAAATAGTCTAATTCCTAATCCATAAACGTAGGTTATATAGGCTACTCCATAACAAATGGAAGTGAAGATAGTGAAGGCCTTAAATGTTTATGTTATATGAAGATAATGCACTGCATGTGTGCTTAGTGTGTGACTGTATATGTGAGGGCGTGCGTCAGAGAGAGAGAAGTGAAGGAAGGGGTTGTGACCGCACTTCTTTTCTTGGTGCTTTGAGGGTGGAAGTGCTGGGCTGAAGCGTCTCGATTTTAGCTTCGCAAATCTGTTGATGACCTCCCCACATTCGCCACCATCTCCCTCTCGCTTGACATCATAGCCAAATTACTTAGCCTGTCCTGACCCATTGTATACATGTGTGTAGTCAGCACTTAAAGACCTTTCATAACTGCAGCTGTTGACTGGGACAGTCAAAGAAGCTTGAAATATGCCCCAAAAGGGAAAAGACGCTTTGAATGCTGGGTACTGTCTTTTATTTTTCTGTCAAGGAAATGCTTTGCAACAATAATGCCTTCAGGCTGTAGGTGGATGCTGTAATGTTCAGCGAGATGTTTGAGTGCCCCTTCACTCAGGAAATGCTGTGAGGCAGGGTGACATGCCTGTACGCCCATTGAGATTTTCTCTCCCAACTCCAGAAAACCCATTCTTAAGCTCCTCTAGTGAACTTCATTGAGGTCTAATCTGGTGCCACAAGATGTTTGGACTACATGATCCTCCATGTTGTTGCTTCCACTGTGTTGCAGTAGCATGAATATCAAGATCTTCACACAGGACCTTGGTCCTCTCTTACACTTCATGTTTCTCATGGTTCTGGTAACTCTTGAGTATAATCTAAACTTCCCTTTTATATTTTATTGCCTCCACCAAATCAACTGTTTCTTACTGTAGGTATTTGTGCAGACCCTGAGTTACTGAGAGCAGTATCCGAAACATGACAAGCGTGTAGATACTGGTACTGAATCTGCAAAGCTTGCCTTTTCATCCAATAGCTAGAGGTGCTGAAATACTCCCTAAGGTCTGGATTAAGGCAGAGAGGTTTTGTAGAGTGGCATTCAGACTGAATCTGGCACACCCAGCCAGTCTTGGGCAGCAGGACAAGTTCTCTGTCCCCTACCCTTAGTTGCTTCTTAAAGGTTTGTAATTTATGGTGGTGGACATGAGAGGTGGAAAATAAAGAGCAGAGACACTCCAGGAGATCAAAGAAGTTACATGCCTGTGGGATTGCCTTGTAAGTGGGGCAAAGGACAAGATTTTGTTCATGGGCAATGGATATATAGTCCCTCTGGATGCTTTTGTCTGAATCGATCTTGGTACACCTCTCACTGCTCCACTGGCACCATCGTAGGATTGAGTGACTCATGTAAGGTGTCTTATTCCATGTTTCTCAAGTTGCTTCTCTATGGTGTCAGTGACGGAGCTAGCATCAAATGCCTCAAGGTGGTGGGAAAATTCAAGGAATCTCTCTCTCAGTAAACCCTGTGGACTAACGACTATCACACGCACTATGCAAGTTGCTCCGAATGATGATCCCTTGCTTCATCCACCATTATCGAGAAGAGATAATCCTTGAAGTTTTAACACCAGAGGTGCTTTGAATCTTTCCATGAGAGTAAGGTTATATATGATGCTGCAAAGGCTCAAACTTCTCGAGAGGCTGCATACGCTCCATACAATTCCCTTTATTGTCACTGTCTGGGGCCTCATTGTGACCTAAAAAAGGCAACGCCCTGCTCTTTCAAAGGAAGGCTGTCACTTCTATACGTCTGAGATACTGCGTACAATCCACAGTCTCACTGATGTTTGCAGCTTGTAGCTTGTAGCTGCTCTGTGATGTCCCTGTGGAGCCGTGTGTCTTTAAAGCTCTTCCAACTCATCACTGAAGCCTTGTGCTTGTTGGATGTTTCATGTTCCCTAAAAGAATCTAATTCTTTCTTCCAACTTGTGGTGGTGAGTGTGTCCATTTGATCTCTCGCTTGTTTTGGTTATGCCACATGAAGCAAAATGCTGCATTGGCAGTTAGACAGTATTCCAGTCACTCAAAAGTATCAGATCAACTTGGTAGGAAATGATCTTTTTTTGTTGGCCAAACATGCTTCATGGAAAAGCAGAGATGTTTTACTTGCCTTAGCCCTGTATCTGCAGTCCCCAGACCCACTAGTTCAGTTGGGTTTCCTGTTGCCTCTTGGGACATTCGCTGCCCTCTGTTCTGGTCTCCATCATCTTTGCTGTCTATGGTTTCTCCTTTCCTTCTCCTGTTCTCTCTTCCTCTTCTATCCTGTCTGGCCCATTTGTAATAATTGTATCAGTAGACACAAAAAATAATGGTCAAATCTCCAGCTCCTGTTAAATGTGTCTCCATTAAAACGAGCCAGCAACCATTATCATTATTACTATTTAACAGAAGATCCGCAACACATAATACAAATGGCTGAGGACGGTAATTTTCCCTCTGCAGCTTATTTTCATGCTGATCACCAAAGAAATCAGTCTTAAAAAAGCCCACGCATGGACTTCTTTCTGTTTTTGACAACAAGACATAGAATAATACAATACTTATCCCTTAAAAGCAACTGAAAAATCTGCACACTGTGAAAGTATAGGAACATATTGGTTAATTAGCAGCACGTTCCAGCCTTTCCTCTGCATTCTTAATATCAGACACCAGACCACACACAGGTGGCAACAATTAATCAGTATTGAACTGAGAAGTCTACAAGATGGATCTAGTGCAAAAAACAGCGACAGGATCAACAAAAATGGAGAAGTATTTCACAATAGAAGCACATCTTGCTGTTGACGTTCATAAAAAAAAACATGTCAGTGAAAAGTCTTGGCACCGGGTGTGAGGGATTTTAAGTTCTAGCAAATGTAGAATACAATGGGCATTGTCATGGAACTGATCAAATACAAGTACTATTGAATCATTCTTATTATCGAGTTTATTTAGTTTATTGTTTCACATGCCATTTTTTTGCTTTTAAGAGTTCTTTTTCACAGAAAACATTTTGACTTGTCACAGTAGGAAAAGCGCAGGTGTAACTAATTACAGTAACTTCAGTTTTATTATTTACACCTGTGCTATTCCTACTTTGACATGTCAAAATGTCTTCTGTGAAAGTGATCTATTAATGTCACTAAAGTCACCTTCAAGGCTTTAATCCTGATTGTTTCATTTAGCAAACTGGAGCAGAGTTATGTCACTCGCTCACACAACTTTCTTCATCTCACAGTTGATGTCTTTGTCCTTGAACAGGGGACTGTTTGTGGTTGTAGGTCATGGTGTTCACAGATTCACACACATTGCTGTGTGTGTGTGTGTGGGTGTGAGTGTGTATGTCAGGTAGAGGAGACAAAGGAGAGAGAGGATGATGAGTGTTATTGCATGGCTGCCAGCATCACGGATTATGAGAATGACAGTGACACTCTTAGACACGCCCCTCTGTAACCAACACACACACACGCACACGCACACACACGCACGCACGAACACACACACACAGAGGCATACAAAAACAAACACACACTTGCACACACAGGAGTGCATTTGTATGCATGGTAGCCATCTCACGACTCATCCTAACTCATCCTAATATCCCCATCTCCTCAGACACGCCTGAGTCTAAATAGGAGTTTATTCTGGACAAACACACACATTTGCACACGCGCACACACATACACAAACAAGTATCCCCGTGAGTAGGTGTATGACTCAGCATCAGCCAGACCAATTACAAGCGCGACTGACAGACTGTGCTTAAAACACGAAGCACGCAAACACACACACATTCACAGCTTAGCTCACACCAGCCCTCTCTAACCCTCTCAGCTGTGTGTTTCTCATGGTGGTGACTCATATCTATTCAGTAGCACATGAAGTATACTATCCTGCACTAACAAGCATATGCTAACCCTAATGGCCTGCTCGTTTCCCCTTACTCATTCTCTCTGTAGGATTCTTTTCCATTAATGCAAAACATTTTGTCAAATAAAATGCTACACAAACTCATCGTGAACATTTGTGGAGTTTTCCTGTCTTTGTCTAGAATTTGTGTATTTTACCACAGTGCGTGACAATACATAGCTTACACAGTTAAAGAGGCATAAGAGGATTTTATGTAGCTTTATGTAGCTTTAGGACTGTGTGACTCCTTGATCCCCCAGCCCTGTGCCCATTTAGGCCCGAAATGTTAACGGTTTAAAGGACACCACAAACCCTTTCAGTAGAGTATATTTTGTGGAGAGAGCTATATTAGCACTTCACAAACGATTGAATTAGTGGTGGTAATGAACTATTCTTTTACTGCTTCACCTTATTGAATTATAGTCATCTGGACATCAAGCCTGTAATCTGCCAAAAGTGCTGTAGGCTGGCGATGGAACTGTTCAGATACCTGTAGCAGCTGAAGTACTAATGACAGGAAAGAAACAGTACAGTACCTTGTCCTGTTCATTATATAACAGATTATATTATAATGACATTTGAGATAACATAGTAACATGACAAATAAAGATTGATCTTCAAATACTGTACTGAGTTTTACTTCCTAGAGTTGTATTGAAATGTGTTTTCATTTTCTATTTTATTTAGGTACCTGTTTTATCATATAAAACATCCTTGGTATAAAAAAAATATTAATAGCCTTTTAGCTAATCAGATATGTAGCATTTGGCAGGAAAGTAATACTGGACCCATTAAATTATTAAAACAATTTTGAATGCCTGGCGTTACAACTATATATAACATATTCAATTATAAAATATGCACAATATTAAAGAGTTTAAAATTACAAAAAAAGTGGAAGCCATCTTTTAAATTTCAAACATATGTCCTACCAAAAGTTATCTATGCTTTCAATACATTTTCAGAATAATGATAGCAAATAACAACACAGATGCACAATAGACGTGTGTGTGTATGTATCTGTGTCTGTGTGTGACTGTGTACGTTTGTAACCATGTACAGAAGGTAGGGAGGGTTTCTGGAAGCCCTTAGATTAAGTCTTTGTTTCTTTTTTCCTCTGTCCACCAGCGAGGTGCAGACACACTGCGAGCAGACACAACAGACAGGTGAGTTTGTATTTGTGGTTGGTTGTGGTTAGACCACATGCTTGTGATTGATAGAAGGAGCGGTGAGAGTTGTTTGTGGTTATATTTAATCCTGTCTGTCCCTCTGCAGGTACTCGGGCTCAGGAAGCTCAGGAGGGGCCTCCATGAGGAAGGTAGGAGAGCAGACAGTGTCTCGGTTCTGACTGTCTATTTATTGTTTTTTTTTTATCTATGCACACTGGTTCTGATTTTTAAACAATGCTGTCTTTCCAGTACGTTTTGATTCTGACTCAAACCCCATTTTAATGAAGCAACAGTGGCTTCACACTTACATCATCAATCTCCTAGCAACCACATCCACAGTTACATGGAGATCAATTGTGTCCAAATAACGGCTGAACATACAGCCACACAAGAGTAGGAGAGATACCTGAGATTAAATCCATTCAGGGCTGTGATAATTAAATAAAAGATAACAGTCGGATTAGGTAAATTGGTTTCCATATTTAGGTTACTGTGACACAGGAAGCTGCCGTAGTCATTAGCACTAGCCTCTCCTTCAAAGCACTGTGAGTTGTAGCATACAATGAGTCAGCGTAGATGACTATAAACAGACATTTATTCATCTTTGTCACCTAGATAAATAGCCAGCAGACTTATTCAGCTGTGTCAATGTTAACACCTATAGCCACCAGGCCTACTCACACTAGCTTCTATTGGCTACATTAGCTAGTGCACAGTTCAGTAGTGTTTGCAACAACATGCTAGCTTGCTGACATAATCTAAACACAAAATACATTTTAAATGAATAATAATTAAATAATTTTAAAACAATGCTATGTAACTTTTAGAAGAAGAGAGAATATTTTTCTTTCACAAATGAAAAGTTGAATTCATAAGCAATAAATGGCACCATTGTTCAACTGTGGTTTTGCTGCTACAACCATAGTTGGTCTAATATGACCAGTAGCTTGTGTTGCCTAATGTTAGCTAATGTTAACTCACTTAAGATAGCCATTGCTGTGTAACAGACATTAGCTACTGAGTTACTGACTTCATCACTCTTTTGTTTTGCTACATTAATACACAGCATTAAATGTGTCACAGTCACTTGTGGTTGTAGCCACTGTTCAGCAAAAGTCATGCTGGCTAAATTTTGACCACTGTGGGTGGATTTCATTATCAGTGCGCTTTAATTTGAGAAAAATTCAAATTTCTGACCTAAATATCGACAATCCGACTCAACATTTTCAGCTATGCTGTGGCAGGCAGCTTTTTGATCTCCGTCACAGGTTGTAGGTCACTTCCCGGCTGTAGCAGTTTTAGTATTGTGATCCCTCTGTGCTTGTAATCCTCTCTGTTGTTTGCCTGATAAAATGAAAATAAGATAAAAAAAAAAAAAAGAGAGAGTGAACTGGCTGTTCCTCTTTATGTGGGAAATTTATCAACAACAACAACAAAGAAACTTTCACCTGAACATTACTTTCTCCTTATTTTTACTTGTGTGTTGTCTATTTCAGGATTTTTTTAGCTAACATCTTTTTTCTTTCTTCCCTAGTCTTTCCATTACACCTCTCTAAGAACGAAAACCAAAAAGAGAAGTAAAGGTAGGCACTCTAGTATTGCAGTAGTATTTACCCTATGTTAGCATATGTGGCCCAATAGAGACTCAAATGTTTTACCAAGAAAATATGACTATGCAAATGTCTGAACTCAGACAGATTTTAGGTGCTGCGAATTTTCACTGTGGTGCGTCATTGCGAGAGAATAGCTTGACATATCAAAAGGAGAGCTGAGACAGGCTTGATGATATAACACAATGCTTATGTGTGTCAAAAGCCCAGATTTACAGTACATGATGAAAACAGTAATGCCCACACTATAATAATAACTCTGCGCTTACAAAATAGATAATTTACATTTACAGAGTTTCTTGCTAATGCCTGCCATCTCTGTTTTTTCCTTCATTTTACTTGCACTGATTGACTGTTTCCTATTTTTGGATACTCCTAACTTATCACTGTCACTGGTGTAATACTCTGGGTATTCATCAGAGTTGCAGATGTACTGAAAATCCTTTAGTTTGGAGGGATTCAACAGTTCACATTGCTGATTTTACAGGAATAAAATCCTACTGTGAGCTGCTGCAGACTTAGAGAGAGTACAGACATTTGGATTCAGTCTGTTAGATTGGAACCACTAAATACATGACCACACTTATACTTCTCTACTAGTATTTTTCTCAATTTAGTTCCAAATGCTATGAAAATCACTTTCATTATCAACATTTTCTTCCTCCTCAGGTTCCCTCACTAGTGCCAGTCGAAGGAGAATCTCCTGTAAGGACCTGGGCCACGGTGACTGTGAAGGCTGGCTGTGGAAGAAGAAGGACGCCAAAGGCTACTTCACTCAGAAATGGAGGAAATACTGGTTTATCCTCAAAGAGTCCTGCCTCTACTGGTACACAAACCAAAATGTAAGGCATCACATTCAAATATTGTTAAATGCTATCCTTATTATCAGAGTCAAACTCATCATTTTCATTATTCTAACTTTGCACTATGCTTTGAATGCTTGTTTAAATTTCCATTTAAACCACTTTCTTAACAAAGTTACTGTAACACTAACATTACAGCTTAAACAAAAGACAGATTTTACACATAAAAAGTACAACTCAGAATATAAAAACAGTCGAAGGAGACTGTAATGTCTCATTTTAAAAATCCACACATTATAACAATGTCCCCAGTTAGATTCTAGCTGAGGATTTTTACAAACAACCAAAAACATGAAAACACACAAGACATTATTTGAAGGAATTAAGTATAAATGTTACAGATAATTAGTGTAACATTTAGGAATTCATTTTCCATCCTATTCACACAGTGGTGTTTTTTGATGGTCACTATTTCCAAAGAATTTTTATAATGAATCATTTGTAAATAAAAAACGTTGAAGGTTTAGGGATTAAAGAATATAAATGTTAGGTCCTTTTTTACTTGCATATATGGGGAATCCATTCAGTTGCTTTTCATCACTCAGAATCAGTTTTTTGTCATTTTGCCATTGCAACTAACAATTATTTTCAGTGTTGATTAATCCACAAATTGTTTTCTTGATTAATCAGTTAATCATTCTGTCTATACTCCAGAAAAAAGTAGGAAAGCGGCTAATTCTCACATTTGTGAAGTTGCACCCTTTAAATGTTTTGCATTTTTTTCTTGAATATTGACTTAAAAAGAATAATCGGTTATCAACATAGTTACAGATTAGTATTCTGTCAATCAACTAATCAATTAATCAACTAACTTTTGCAGCTCTAAGTCATACTTTTAGATCCGTTCAACACATTCAGCGCATTTTGACCTCATTCTGACTCACTGTGAGACTCGAGGATGTTGTTTAGATGTTTGGATCAATGGATTGAATGGAATAATTGTAATATTATGAAGAAAAAGACAACTGATCCAGACCTGATCGTTAACTGTAAATATGTTTTGTTTATACATCTCAGTTTTTTCATGTTAAGTGGTGAAAGGAGTTTATCCCGCCAATGTAAACAACATATGTTGTTTTCATATGCTTGACTAGAGTACTACTATCCCAAATGTAATGGATATTTCAGTATGCATGACATTTTGTTCTGTGTTGATGATGTACCTCCACTCTCCATCTGTCTCTGCCTGTAGGACGAGAAGGCTGAGGGCTTCATCAGCCTCCCTGAGTTCAGAATAGACCGAGCCATAGAGTGCAGACGGAAATTGTGAGTGTCCCTCACATGTCGCCAAAATTACTAATCAAGCACATTTGCGCTCGCCCACACAACACGAACGCACACAAACCCACCGCGCATAAACAAAAACACTAATCAGTCTTCTTCTCCCTGTCTGACTGCAGTGCCTTCAAAGCCTGTCATCCCAAAATCAAGAGCTTCTTCTTCGCCACAGATTGTCTTGAAGAAATGAACAGGTGAGCGATTGTGTGTCTGTGTGACTCTCTGAGTGTGTGTTTGTCGGAGACTGGAGATGTCACGTGTTCTTACATGAATACTTTAACTGAGTAAACCAAGTTTGCACAAGGCAACGGCTCGCTCAACACAACACTGTGCATGAATAAGACATGAACCGGGCCCTGTGTTGTTAAATGTAGAGCTGTGTATGTGTGTGTAAATGTGTGTTAGTGTCACGTGTGTGCTTGTGTGAGAGGGAGAACATAGTGTTATTTGATGAGCTCTAATTATCCTCACCTCTCCTCAGTGACATGGGGAGATAATTGGGGGAGAGTAATTAACCAGCTATATTTGACTTCCATACTGTGTTTGGAGTTGTATGTGTGACACCACTGTTGCACACATGTTCGCATGCATTTGCATGTAAGTATGAATAGGTAGTTATTGGCATAGGAACCAGAAAATTTGTCTTATACATGAGCTTCATAAAGCATTCAGACCCTTCACTTTTTGCACACTTTATTGTGTACATTTAATTTTAAATTGATAAAATTGGCAATTTGGCCGATCAGTCTACACTAATCAAAACATTGACCCTTTACTGTGGTACTCCAAACTGTGGTCACGTGCATCCTGTTAATTATCCTTGAGATGTTATCTGGAACTAGCTTGGAGCCTGTGGCACCTCTGTCAAACTGAATTGATTGGACACAGTTTAGAAAGAGCACACACCAAGGTCCCACAAGTCACACTGCATGTCAGGACAAAAATCAAGCCATGAAGTCAAAGGAGCTCCCTGTAGACCACAATAGAATTGTGGTGAGGCATGGATCAGGGCAAGGGTATAAAACCGTTTCTAAAGCTTTGAGTGTTCCCAGGAGCGCAGTGGCCTCAATAATTGTGAGATGGAAGAAGTTCAGAACCAACAGGATTCTTCCTACAATGGCCAAACCGAGCAACAGAGCAAAAAGGGTATGGTCATTGAGGTGACCAAGAACCCAGTGGTCACTCTAACAGAGTTTCAGAAGTCCTCTGCAGAGATGGGTGAACCTGCTGGGAGGACGACCATGTCAGCAGCTCTCCATCAATCAGGCCTTTATGGTAGAGCGGCTGGACAGAGGCCACTTTGAGTAAAAGGCACATGACATCTCACTTGGAGTTTGCCAAACAGTATTTAAAGGAGATAATATGATTCTCTGCTCTGATGAGAAAAAATAACTGAACCCTTTGAGTACTCCAGACACTGTCCACAGTCAAACATGGTGGTGGCAGCATCACGCTATGGGAGGCTTCTCAGCAGCAGCAACAGGGAGACTGGTCAGAACAGAGGGAAGGATGAATGCAGCTAAATACAGAGAGGTCCTTGACGAAAACCTGCCCCAGAGTGCACACGACCTGAGACTGGGGTCGTGTGCACTTAAAGTTAAATTTACATCACAAGGGGTCTGAATACTTTCTGAGGCCACTGTATAACCAGAAGTCACACTGAAGGTTTATTTCAAGGAAAGGACTAAACTAACATTCATAACTGACAAGGATAAAGCAGGTGTCATTCTATATTTTTCCTTATTGTCAACAAATTCTATGCAAAGAGTAAAACCTTTCACTAGTGCTACACATCCTTCTATAGATGTAATCTTTTTACGAAACAGTCAATAATTTCCTACAAAAAGTGGGCACTGTGGTTTTTAGAAAACATTACTGAAACAAGACAAAATAATGCATCTGGTGGGGACTATTTTCAGCTGTCGAATAATACAAATTGTTGAATAATTATAGCAGCAGGATGTTGTATTTGGGATTAACTCAACGTAAACTGCAGTGCCCGTGTTCAACAATATGGACAGTTTATGTGTTTTTAAGTTTTTGCACAACAACAACATCAGGACTGGCCACATTTATCCTACTTGTTATTAGGACCAGTTGATTGTCAGTTTGGGTCTTTACATGGGATTTGTTGACAATTAGAAATCAGTTCTGTTGTTCGTGCCACAGACTGGGCCTCTATTCTTGGTAGCGACCTTATTATTAGGTGTCTGCAGAGGACAAGTCAGGACGGGAAGAAGACAAGTGTGAATGCAGAGAAAGAACACCATCTGAGACTCAGTGTTGAGAGACAATGGGACAGAGGAGTGTCACTTCTCTCTTTTTGCATTCATCTCTCTAATTATCTTGATTCTTTTCTCTCCTCGTCAGGGGGATGGAGTCAGCTAGACAGATATCAACTGTTAAGAGACAGCACTTAAATTATTTAGAATGAAAGTCTTTATTCATCACCTACCATTTACCCACTATAACCCATCCTCTCCTCTCCTCTCCTCCTTTCTGCTACTTTTCTAATACATCCCCTGATGCTTTCCTTTCTCCTAACTTTTCATCCCTCCCCTTTCCTTTCTCCTTTCCTTGTTTCCTATAGGTGGATGAACCGACTGGGGTTAGCTGCTATTGGCTACACACCAGATGACAAGGTGCCACGCCCTGATGAAGGTAAGATGAATTGGCTTGGTTTGAAATTATTTCTTCTAATTTTTCGCCAATGAATCTCTTACATTTGTGTGTGTGTGTGTCTCTGTTCTTATCTCAATATCAGACTACTGGAGTGAGAGTGATCAAGACGAGGTCGACGGCTCGATGACACTCAAACAGGAGGGACCCTCATCCCTCTGTGATACTTATCACCGCACACCATCAGTAAGTATACACACACACACACACACAAACACACACACACACACGCACACACACACAAACACACAAACTCACCCACACTCAACATTTTCTTTGCAGTGTTTCATTCTGATGGAATATTTTATTCCTAAAAGCCCCACAGTTTTCAGAGCTGCATAGACCAGAGCTCTAAGCATTAATAAAACATCAGAGTGTGAGACTATCTGGTTCGGTAAGCAGCCAAGACCATCACTTCTCTGTGTTCTGTTGCCAGAACTAAGACACAATCTGACCTCTAGGGGGTGACAATTGACAATGCACATTACATCTTGAAAATAAATATGAAAACATACCCTTATTCAGATGAAACTCAGACATTTATATTAAGGCGCAGTGGCATTGCTACCATGTTTTCCCACTGAGCATTTCAACAGTCATATCAATCCTTCCTGCAGTAACTCATCTGCCATCTCATTGCTTCTTTTTTCTCATCTATTGGTCTCTTTCTGTCCTTTATACTTTCCTGTCCTTTCTTCTTCTCTCCTCTCTCTGTCCTTGCACACCTCCTCCTCCTCCTCCTTGTTTTGCGGGTCACATTCTCCTTGTATCTCTGTATCTGTGCTCACACTTCACACCTTTCTGTCAACTTTTATCTGTCCCTCGTCAACCCTCCCCATACTAACCAACCCTGTCCACCTCACCTACCCCTGGGCCCTTCAGTCAAACCTCCTCCACAGTTATGACCAGTTGCCCCGCTCAGTCAGCTCCATGAGCCTCATGCGTTCCACTCCGTCCCCACTCCCTCCACCACTGAGTGCCTCCACCTCCCCAATCCCTCCACAGATGGTCTCTTCCACCTCCCCTCTCCCTCCCCAGGTCAATTCTTCTAGCCCCTTCCCGGAGCCCAAGCACGGCCGACACTTCTCCAGCGAGTCCACACACTCCCACTCCTCAGCTGAGGACCAGCGTGGAGACGGTATGGGCATGGGCACGGGCACAGGCAGCACCAGTACACACTCATCCGGCTGCCGCTCTTCCCATCGTGAGCGTCGTTCCTGGCAGGACCTCATTGAGACCCCTCTGACCAGCGCGGGGCTGCACTTCCTCCAGACGGCGCCGGGGGAGAATGATTACGGAGGCCTAATGGGGACCATGGCCGGAGACATGGGGCTCTACGGAGGCCTGGGCAGACAGGGCATGTCCCCGGAGAGACGCAGGCAGGCCACTCTGCCCGTACGGAGACATCACGCCGCAGAGAGGGACAGGGAGCGGGACGGGCCCTTTCCTCTGGAGCGGGGGCCACACACACACAGTCACACACACCGACGCTCCCACAAGCAGCGGAGCCAGAGTCTGCCCAGGAACAGGGACCCAATGCCAGGAAAGCTGCTACACACCTCAGCTCATATGGAGGAGAGGAGCGAGGATGAAGAGGCAGAGGGGCAGGCTGGAGATATGTTCGAGGGTGAGGAGGGTAAGAGAATTACACACAGTCTGAATTATACAGTACAAAGAGAGCAGCAGGAATATCTACAGGAAGAACAGACTATTAAGTAACAAATGACTCAAGAACATTATACTATTCATTATAATACATACAGTATGTACTGCATATTCATTATGTTGTAATTAGTAACAATACCACACTGTCAAAATACTTCAGTATAAGTAAAAGACCTGCACTGAAAATGTTCCATAATAAAGTACCTAAGTATTATTAGCAAAAATACCTTCAGCATCAAAAGTAAAAGTTGCCATAATGCAATTTGGCTCCTCTGCGTGTTTTAGTATTAAATATTACATTAGCAGATTATTATTACTGATGCAACAACATGTAAGTAGCATTTTATTGTTGTAGTTGCTTGAGGTGAAGCAGATTTTTATTTTTTAATATACTTTGTGGTTTAGGTTGAAGTTAGGTAGTTTAATGGAAGAGCATATTATTTTGTACATAAAATCTCTTGTGGCTCTTGGAGACCCCAGGCCCTCTGCAGCAGCTCAAAAAATATACTGTATAATATTGTTGAACTGATATGTTGACATGTTTCGGAAGTCAGCTTCGGTTTGTGGTCTCAGAGACCCCAGCTGTAAAACAACGTTTAATATAACAGATGTTCATCTGTTCTTTTACGTAGCACTGCTCTAATGAATCTATTAGGATTTCTAATAGCTACGTGAACATGAAAAGTACGATACACTGTACATTTTTTGGGGGAAAAAATAGAATAGAGGATATTTGTTCATACATAGACCATGTAGATTTGAAATATCTCTTCAGCTGGTGTAACAATGATGCTTTACGGTCATTTCTGTATTTTAATACCTTCATATATATCACTTCACAAAGGGATTAGAATTATGACCTCACTTCATGTCTACATATTGGGTTTTAATAAAGTCAGACAAAAAGCAAAGGAGTATGTAATGGGGAAAGAAGAATTTAATTTTGCATTCATTATTATTATTGTTTTACACAAAACAGCTGTGCAGTCTTTGGGGCCACAAACAATGAGGAAGTGATGTCAGTCTAAACAAAACACAGGTTTAATCTTCAAAGTAACAAGTAACTAAAGCTGCAATATTTGTGGCTGGAGTGAAGTAGAATCATAAAGTGGCATAATCTGGAAACACTACTACTACTAAAGTACAAGTAAATGGGGTGGTGGTGGTGGTTTTTGGGAGGGGAGGAGGGGGTGTCAAGGACTCACATGGGTCCTCACTGACTCTCAAGGTGTTAAAGACCCCACAAGAAGTTAAATGCCTGGAATTCCCCACTAGTCTGTTAGAAGTGAAGAAGCCTTCTGGATGAGAGGTGAAATGTCTTCAAGAACCTCATGCAAGTCTTGTCAAGCCTTCATATAGCACTGGGGATCCTCACAGGCCTAACTAAATGTATTTGTTTTGGTGGCAGTGTGTGTGTGTGTGTGGTGGGGCGGTGTCTCTGATATTTACTTTTTTCTAATCTATACCCTCTAACCTCTTCAGGCCTCCAAAATTGATTCAAATGAAAGAGTCTGAGGAGGGAAACTCAATCTTTGATATATATGCAGTATACGGTACATGTATATACACACATCAGTAGCCTGACAGGCTCTATGAAGACAGGTCTGGTTAACCATCCATCCTGCTTAGAGTGATAAACATCTCAAAGCAATTACAAAATCAAGAAGGCACATCTGACAGAGTGGAAGCACAAAGGCAGTACATCACAAATATCAACAACACATCAATAACTAAGCTAGAAGAAGGAGAACATTAAAATGTTGCACAACAGCATCTTTAAAATGCATTTACATCCCACAAAAGTGACATCAGGAAATCTCCACACAGACGTATTGTATTAGTAGGGATCAAAGTGGTTCAAAAAAGCAAAGAAAGATCATTTGTGAATGCAACAAGTTTTGCTAAATCCCTCATATGTGCCACTTAAACACTATTCTGTTTGGATGAGTGGTTCTTGCATGAGGCCTGATGTCAGAAGAAATAAAAATTAAAGTACATTTTTTTAAAGGTTTTAATTTGCTACATGAAAATGGCACAGTGCCACTGGGGAGGAGCACGAGGCAGTAGGTCATGTTGTTTGGTAGCATTTCTGCTCTGTTAGCATTAAACACACCAGTGTACATTATGAATCTGACTCTTACTGGTCGTCTCCTGGCTGTCTCAGACCTGCGGGAGTTGAGAGTTGAGAGCAGAGAGAGGAGGGTGTCAGAAGGAAGGGAGCGGCGGGTGTCAGAGGGCCGTGAGCCAGAGCCATTAGATGGTCTAGAGCAGCTGTACCGGGCCTTGGAGCAAGCTAACGTGACGGCCCTAGGAGACCCCAGACCTTGTAGCAGGCAAGAGCTTCGACGCTGTTTCACCCAGAGAGCCAGGGACCCTCTGCTCAACGACAGGCTACACCGGGTGCGAGCCCTCCGCAGCACCTTGAAGGTAGCACAAAGAGGGGATTCTGTCACAAACACAGCAAAGATTTGGGGATTTAAAGAAGATTTAGATGTGCGAGGACACAATGTGGTAATCTCTTGGTGTCTCTTTGCTCCCCCAGGCCAAAGAGTCAGAGCTGGCAGTAATCTGTGCCCTCCTGGAGGACCCTGGCCTGTGCTCCCAGACCTTCAGAGAGTGGAAGCAGTGGCACAGCGAGCTCTACTCAGACATCTGCCAGCTCAGCCCCGGCACCAACGGCCAGGACGACCTGTCCCCGCTGGCTGCACCTCTCATGACCCACACACACTCCTTCATTGAGACACACGTGTGAGACAGAGAAGAGAAGCAGAGACTGAACTGATATGCACACTCACTTACACACACACACACACACACACACATGCACACACGCACAGACACACACACACACACACACACGGAGCTTTACATTAGCTAAACCCTCTCCCCCTGATCACGACTCTGAGCACGCACTCACACAAACACACATACAGGAACACACATTGTAAGATGTGTAAATATCATAGAGGGAACAGTCTGAGACCTGCGTGTATGAACTTTTGATAATCCTGAGGACCCCACAGGGTGCCTATTGCATGCCTGAACAGAAAGCATTAATCTTCCTTTGTCTATGGAACTCAGCATAAACTCCACACGCTTGTCGAGCAAAATGGAAAAAAAGGAGACTTTTTAACACGTTCGTTCCTTTGTATTGGTTTTGCTATTTTTTTCCGGTTGATTTAAGGGGGCAGGGGGAGCTATGTAGCAGCAATACAGAGGAGAATCCTTTTCACCACAGCACTGTACTTTTGTACTGATGAACTTTGCACCCAGAGCCACCAGTTCTCCCCCTTTCTCTCTCTCTCTCTCTCTCTCTATCTATCTCTCTATCTCTTTTTTTCTCTCACTGCATATCTCACTGATTTACAGGGACCTAACTGTTGCTCCAGGCTGATCTGACGGGACAGTGTGGGGAAAGTAAGGGCAGCGACTTTACTGTAAGACTGTGAAAGGTAGCCATCAATGCTGGTTTATCTGTTTTAGCTGATGAAAACACGTGTCACGAGCATTGTGCTGGCTAGATGCACACTATTTCAAACTGTGAACTGTTAAAAAAAAAAAACACACAATTTTATCTGCAGAAGGAGGCTCCTCTGATAGAGTGCAATTCTACGATTCAGTTTGCATTCTCTCTCCCTCTCTCTCTGTGTTTCTCTCCATCTCCTCCTTCTCTTTTCTTAATTTTTTCCTCTTGTTTCTTCTCTCTCTCTCTAGTCCTCAAAGACTTGTGTATATGTGTATACTGCTGTGTATACTGATGTAAATGTTTGCGTTCCACTACCACTGTGATATGCTTCTAGAGGTAGCGGAGGGAAGACGGAGAGTATGTATTTGCGTGGGTGCAAAACAATTTGTTATTGTTTTGTTTTGGGTTTTTTTTCTTTTTTTTTCTTAAACAGCGAATGCAAGAGCTAGAGAGTTCTTTTCAAAGGAGTCACTCACTACAAAGAATGCACTTTCTATATCTCTATATCTCATTGGCTGCATCACAGGGTCTATGTCTCATCGGCCTCTTTACCATTGCTGTTCAAAATATCAGGTAAAAGCATTTGCCGTCTCATTTTCTAAAGATTTGTGTACAGTCTACAAATATATTTAAACATAGAAGAATATATAAATCTATTTACGTTTTGTGTCATAGATATAATGTAAAGTATGATGTATTCTATGCCAAGGTTTTGCAGTGTCCCCCTCTTCACTCTGTAGATGCAGGGTGTTTAGCAGTTGAACAACTAGGAGGCGAACAACAACAACCACCACCATCACTGACAGATGATTGACAGTTTTTACTGGTTTACATCACAGCTGACTCTTCTCCTGGTGATGTGTTGCATGAGAAAAGGCCTGGGACTGATTTGATTGGACAGGGTAAAATATCGTGGATCATTTGTGTTCTTTTTTGTTTCTTTTTCTTTTTATCTTCCTCTCATGATTGCAAGATAATTAGACTTGTAGCGCATGGTACATGCAAACGTATTGTTGAAGAATTACTTTTTATTTGTATGTTCATAGGTTTGAAGTCTTTTTTCATTAGATGGTGTTTGAAGACACAAACTGTACAAAAACTGAGGGAGGCATTTTTGCCTCTCAGTTATTCAATCTAATGCAGATCCTTCTTTAGCATCTAACCAGGAGCTTTCAGTTTGATGTTTTGGTTTACATAGAGACTGACGCGCATCCAAAGGGTTCAGAAGTCTTACCTGAGAGACAACAGTACAATTACTTCCAAAACAAAAGCTTGTTTTTGACATTCCCTCCAAGCATTTGATTGATACTGGGTGGTCAAAGACCTCTATATTAATTGGTCTGTAATGTCTGTGAAACTCAGATGAATCATTTCGTCTGCAATATCAGGCCAAGGACTCAATGGTGCCCCCCAGTGTCGAAGACTCTGAGAGACATGCGTAGCACCTGCTGCATCCAGCACTACCTGTACTTATTCTTCATATTTTAACTGTAGTTCTTTGAGTGTAGGTTCAGGTTTTTCATCATGTCACACTGTCGTGAAATATCAAACACACCCCAGAGATATAGCTCATGTTTTTTTGTTTTTTTTGAATGGTTGATTTGAGAGTACCACAAAGAAAACTAAATGATGCAAGCACTTTCCCTGTGCCTCCCAACCCTCTCTTTGGCAACGATGGACTGACTTTACTGGCGATCCTACACACACACAGCTGTAGAAGAGCTACAATACAGTTTTAGTCTGCGGACCTCTCTCCGTTTCTCATCTGTAGTGTTGGTCTTCTTTTTCCAACCGCTGCTCCACTGAGCAGGCGACATACTGTAGATTAAGGAGCTATGTGAGTTATGATTTGTAGGCACAGACTGTGTTATCCCTCCCAGATCTTTGTGTGTGTAGACCTGCAGAAACAGGCCGAAAAGGGAGATTCCACTGTGTGTTCTTTCAGGGGTGTACACCTCATGGTACATTGCACAGGTGTTTAAGATGTAAGTTGCACTGCGACATTAAAAAAGGAACATATTGCTCTTTTTCAAGGATAATATTAGCTTACTGTTATTCTGTACATTAAACTGACTAAAGATGATATTAAAAAAGAAAGAAAATGACATTTATTCTTCCTAAAGTAGCCTTTTTTTGGTTTCATATATATGAATATATATTACAAAAAATACAGATTGTAAACTTAAGTTGTTAAACTTTGACTTCAATAAACTGAATCCTCTGCACTATGAGCTATGTTCTGTTTATGAGTACCTCTTCTTGGATTTATTGGAACAGCATTGCAGTGTCTTCTGAGCTGATGTTTCCAGGACAAAGACGACCAGATTTCAAATTAATGGCAGGTACAATATGTTCTATTCTGCAGTAACTAATGTGTATATCTAAAATGTCTTTGAGCAAACTGAACCTTTACCTGTTCACTCTTCATAATCTTCCATCTAAAAATAACCACTTTGAGTAGCTATTATGCATGCACTACTTTACATATATTCATGGCATCCATCCTTTATTTATATTGCTTATCCTGTACAGGGTCAAGGGGGGTAAGGAGGCTGTTCACACTGGGGGCAAGAGGTGGAGTACACCTGAAACATACTGACAACCATGCACAGTCACAATCAGTTCAAAAAGTTGCTGTTGGGTCCATTCTTCCTGACCACCCACTCACTGCACTCTGTGTAATGTGTATGTATCCTATCACTTCCAATTTACCAGCAAATGCATTATAACCAGTGCTCTGTGCTATGCTGGAACAATACTTTACTTGGGTTAGCTTGTGGTAATGTGATTGAAGTTCATTTAGGAGCATGCACAAAGTGAGCACAATTTACTAGATTTTAACAGAGAGTTAACATTGCACTTAAGTTGTTGCAGCCAGTTCCCTAATAACTTTTTTAGTTAATCTTCTCTTTGGGTTGTTGTTGTTGTTGCTGTTGTTGTTGTTGTTGTTTGTGTTTTGTTTTTTGTTTTTCACTGTTATTAGTTAATCAGAAAACGTTCTCTCTCTCTCTTTTTTTTTTTAAGTTAATCACATTACCAAACGCATCAGACTTGCAATGAATATGGTGCCCGTTTGGATCTAGGACCCTTGGGTAATTTTCTTGCCTCTAATAAATCGCGAGTATCATCATTAGCAATTGCTTTACATGCGGAACATGTGGTACCAGTTAAATAACTTCCATGCAAATGTATTGTAAAATAAAATGTGATGTTTAAAACTTTAGTTACATGCATGCACATTTACAAAAGTCATCACCTACAGTTACAGTGTACTCAGAGCTTGAGAGCACTGCGTGAGCACGTTTTTGCTGGCTGAGATCACCTGAACACCAAACTGGTGCAGGTACCTCCTCAGACCACTAGGTGGCAGCAGGTGACCATGGTTTGAACCAGTCGAAGCTGTTCACCAGGGCCCGAAGAAGACGGAGGAGTGCTGTCATGGCGGCCAAGGTGAATCCTTGACATTTTCTCTTCGGCAAAGTTTTTATTGTGTTTGAAATGTATATTTTCAATGAAAGCGTATGTGTAATGTTAACGTCAACTGGCCCCGAGCCGTCAATACTATCCTGAACTGACTGTCACTTTCCAGGATTTCGTGCTGCATGAAAACAGCTTTGCTAACTGTGTGTCCACTGTGTTAGCCTCACTAACAGAGTCTATGCTAACTTGTACTCCCACCATCAGGTTAATAGTCTCCTAATCATGTGTAACAGCTGATAAACCTTAATACGTGTCAGCCCTGGCCTTATTAGTTGAAGAAGAATTTGCACACATTTCGCTGTTAGATAACGGTACTGTTGAGCTTAGTTAGCTTAGCAGGACGCGGCTGTAAGTTGTCCACAACATCCATTAGTTTTACACATTGTAATAATGACTCTTATTTACGTTGCAACATATTTCCATAGTAGTGATGAAAAGTAACTAAATACATTTACTCCAGTGCTGTGTGTAAGTACTGTTGTCTCCACTAACGTTGCATTGATTTGACAGATAAAGGTGCTGTATGTTACATACAAAATGTAAAGTGCCGTGAGATAATGTATTTTATGATTCGGCGCTATACAAATGAAATTGAATTGAATTGAATTCAAATGATGAACTTGTGAAATGTGACGCATTTTCTAATTTAAAATAGTCAACATTTCACTAAGCCATTAAATGAGCCCCCACTGAACCTGCTGTAACATTAAAATGCAGTTTAGCTGTCAGTGCTTTTGTATGTGAATATATAATAATATACAGGGAGAGCGGAGTAGTGTAACTTCACTGTAAATTTCACACTGTGGTTTTGCTACTTTAAATAATGCAGAGGATTTACTTCTTCCGCTAATGATCCACAGGAGTCACTTGTCTGTCAGTGTCTGCCCGAGGTTTGCGCTGTTTCTTTGAGCTGACAGATAGGTAATGACAGACGTGTACTTCTATTGTGCACCAGGTGGTGATGGTGGCCGTCCCGACGGTGCTAGGAATAGCCTCCATCCGTGTGTACACTGTGAGTGAAGCCCCCGCTGATGGGCTGGTTACTCGAGAACAGGTACGTCTGTCCCAAAACATCATCAGATGTGGTGTATGGGGGGAAAGCTTATTGCCATTCACTGAAATGTTGCATCATAAAATAACATGCTGACTCTACATCTGTCCTCAGCTGAACATCTACACACCGCTGCCACAGTCTGCCCAGGTTCAGTTTGTTCAAGAGAGGCCTGGTGTTATTGAGAGTGGGTTAACTACAGCTAGAGAGAGCATACTACCATTGGCCCAGGCTGTAAAGGTATTTATATTTTGCCATTTGTATCTAGCATTAGTTCACATCCTGTGTAACACTTCAAACACAAAGAGATCAACTCTTTTACAGATATAAATAAGTGTTATGTAAATGGAAAAACAGCTAAAACACATCGAAGACGTCTTATCTTGCACCTGCAAAGTTAGTTTTCCAACCCTGATTTTTGTTCCTCTTGTTTGTGGTTACAGAGCACAATCCCACGTGCTGCAAGTGCTCTGTGCAGGTACAATTTTGCAAAAAGCAAAGTTGAGGAGTCAGACAGGAAATAGTGTTCATGCAGTTAACTCCGCAGCTGTAAGGTCTGCTGCAAGGAGATTTGACAGTTTGATACAGTGGAAGATGGTGGAGAAAAAAAACATCACACTGACAGTTCACACTCAGATGCATCTGTGTTAGTGTTGTCTAGATATGTGTTCTTTCAATTATATATTGCAATGATTTCAGTTTTGTCCATCGTTTGCTGCAGGGTGCCTGTGTTTCTGTGAAAAGGGGAAGTGTTAATCTGTACCATGCAGGAGAGGGTGAGTCAACAGTAGGTACCTTAAGGTCTCATTTATAGCTAGGATCCTCCCTTCACGATAGTCAAAACCTACATTCCTTCTGTTCCTTACAAAGCAGAGTAGAATAATATAGTTAAAACATATCTTACTGTCACTTACAATCACTTACTGTATGTAAGCCATTTATAACAGGATTCATTTACTTCTATAAAATAATTTTACAGAATGTAACATACTTAGATATGCATAGTTCCCATTTCACAAGTAAATAAGGAATTTGTGACTGTGCATTTTTCTGGTCTTTGTGGTAGTGGGTGTGTAATGAAAATATGCATATTACTGTCGCCATCATGTTGTGATACTGCTGTGCATCGTATAGCTGCTATTACTCCTGTTGTTGCTACTGCTAGTAAAAAGTAAAGTAACAATCTGAGTCAGATGTCCGCTGAAGATCAGATGAATATTTGGCAGCATGTTGACTGTGTTCCTGTCTTACCTGTTTCCCAGATGCATACTATTACCTGAAAGACCCTCCCCCAGGTTTTCTACCCAGATTTGGCACCATCACCATGGCTGGCCTGCTTGGAATGTTCTTGGCACGGAAAGGTTAGGGATCCCCTGTCTCTACATCACAAACACTTGAGGCCTGCTGGGAACAATTATTATGACACCTCTTAATCTCTCCATTTATTAGTGCTTACAACAATATTACAGTAAAAAAAAAAAGGAGAAAACAAACAAACAACAGTTAAACATGGGGAGGTATCATCATAAATGAACATGTCAAATACTGTGATATAATATATGTTTAATATCACAGTATTTAAGCATATAATCATCATAAAACTACATTTTGCCAACATACATACATACATATGCCGAATGTTTTAGCACTAAGCTGGGTGTTGTTCAAATTTTCAGTACTATTGCCAGTATGATATCACAGGAGTACCTTTTCAGTACTACAAGTTGCTGAGCACAAAAAGGTCTTCCTACAATTGTTTTCATTTAACAAAACAAATCAAATTTATCCAACTCCAACAAACAAAGTAAAAGTAAAGAGGACAAAAAAACTCTGACCAAGCATTTGGTGTGGGTCTTTGATACACAGTGCTGCATACACAATTTGGTTGATGCTCAGAGAGGATTAATGGTCTGACACCCACATCTGTGATGATCAGAGACCTTTGTTTCTTCCTGTAAGAATTCCTTTTGTACCACGATAGACCGGAAAATAACAGATATTTTTTGTAAGAAATTTGTTCCACCAGAAATCTAAATTTTCAGTATGTAGTGTTAACTGTAGATGTTTCAGCACTGTATTTGAATCAGGCTATTTAGCAGTAATAAAAAGGAACTGCCTCGAGTCCTTTGCAATATTATAGTAGCATGAAAACTAGCTCAGTGTCATTACAGCGTACAGTTACATTTGCCATGCAGCAGTGTGGTAATGTAACAGCTGTAAATGAAGCATCACATTTGTTTGTTTATGTTCACAGTGTTGAGTGTTGTCATATTTGGGACTCAAGATATTTTATATTCAATCTCAATTATCCACCCTGAATCACCCTGAAACAAATTCACAAACAGAATGATGTCATATGTTTATGTGACGTACAAATAACTAGTGGAATCAGAAGATCTACTTGCCTTTCCTCTTTCTCATACCGTCTTGAATTACTCATTCACTTTCACCTCTTGCATCATGGAATTGCATCTATGATGCAGACCTATCTGATGCGCACTTAACCTGAGGTTGATCTGTTCATATGAGACAGCAGTCACTGATAATATCTGGTTATCAGCATTTCTTAGCTATAGCTCACTACTAAACCACATTAGTACAACACATAAGAAACAAGTAAAGTCAAGTTTCCATTTGCTTTCTTGAAATGCTTTGTTTTTGTCTCACCCTCTCTGTCTGTCGCTTTGGGGTGTCGGTTAAATGACATTTAAACAGTTTGTAATGTTTTCTAAATCTAGGCAGTGTTTGGTTGATGTACAGACTGGGCTGGGAAGAGGGTTGTGAACCACCGATCCAGTTTTAACCTGTGTTTTCTGTGTGGGTCTAAATAGGTTATAATAGCCTGTGTGTGTGACCTGTGTGAGTACAGCAGTCCCAGATGAAGTTGAAGTTCATTATCTAATCTGTGCCAAGTTCGATTGATTGCCATTCTTCTTTGTAAAACTTAATTTTAGGCTCTCGTTTCAAGAGGTTAGCTGTTCCGCTGGGCCTGATGAGTGCAGGAGCTTCAGTGTGCTACCCAGCCCAAGCAGTGGCTGTACTTAAGGTGCCTACTTCTTCAAATTCTGACATTTTGTTAACTACTCCCTCCATCAGTACCAAACACAAGCCTCTTTATTTTCAGAGTTTGACGCAGTTATTGTCTGTTGTGGTCCCTAGGTGACGGGTAAGAAGGTGTACGCTGCGGGGCAGTGGAGCAGCGCTGCAGTGTCTTCATTACTCACCTCCAAGCCCAAAGAGCCTGTTGCCAAAGAAATTACTGCTTCACAAAAACAGGTTAGCAGTCATATTGAGTATGTGAACAGATTGATAATGATCATCATGTATGGATTCAGTCGGCTGGTTTTAAAATCGAAACAACTGTAAAGCCGTTTTTCTGAGTGTGACTAAGACCAAAACAGCTGTTCAACCTAATTAATTGTAGCTCTCTCCCCACTGTTTTATTTTCCGTTTACATAATTTACTTTCTCAAAAAAAATCCCTTCTGTCTCTTAGTAGGTCATATTCTATTTCCTTTCCAAGCAATTTGCCTTTGATCATTGTATTGTTACTGGAATTTGCACTTTTTGCTTCATGTGAAGTCACTTGGAAGTTTTGTGATTTGGAAATTAAAGCTTATACTGTGTTATGCATGTTGTCAGTCATCTACAGTGTCAAATCTAGAGTCTGCAGTGGTTGAGGTGTCAGAGCCCAGATCTACCACAGACAGCTCATCCCAAAGTGCTACAAGCCCAGAAACAGAGGTGGAATCAGCTGAGTCTGTTCCTCTCTCTGACGAGCCCATCGCCGCTGTCATAACAAAGGAGGCGTCATCAGTAACACTCTCAGAGATCTCCCCCGACCAGGCCCCCACAGAGACCAACACAGGTATCATAGATATTAATCTCTGTCTCCATCTCCGTTTCACACACAATCACACAAGGGCCTCTTCTGATGATGTGCTGTGTTTCCTCTCCTGTCCAGATCCCGTGGTACATTCAGTGCCAGCAGAGACAGAAGCTGCTTCTCCGTCTGAGGAACGACCTGCCCCTGTTGAAAGTAGTGAGGAGCCCTCAGACACAAAACAAACACCACAGGACGTCTCAAATGAAGCCAGCCCAGCCGAGTCCACGGCGGGTGTAGAGCCAGAGACGGTACAGGCAGCCCCGGCTGAGGCTGCCGAGGTCGAGTCCGCTCCTTCCTCTGAAGAACCACCTGCTCCACAGGCTTCAGATGAGCCAGCAGGTACTAGAAACATTCTGCCCCTCCATATCAAAGAGCAGAAAAAGCACTCAAGATGCTCAAGATTAAATTTCCAGAATTAATGTTCTTCCTTGGAAGATCAGTGTTGGTACAGAGATGGTGTTCATTGGAATTGAAGGAACTAATTAAAATATGCATCTCTTGCTTTACTTCTTATTAGGACCATCCTGCACAGTACACTTAATTTATTGTAACCTGCCAAATGAGAACTTTCTAAACAGCATCACTATTAGTAATACTATTCTAACCTCACAGTAGCTTTTATAAAGGTGGCAACACATGAGTTCATGTCTCTGCTGCTGAACCTGTGTTTTATTTTGACTTCTCCTCAGTGCCAGTTGTTGAATCAGCTGAGCCAGAACCCGCTGCTCAACCAGAGGAGACTCCAACCCCGACACTCACACCACCACCACTACCACCTCCTGAACAGCCTGCAGCAGAAAACAGCAAAGGTACTGTGATTACCTGCGGCACATACACCACTGCTTCAGTTTATTAGCTGGGCATTGACTTACTCAAGCACACAGACTCACACATACACGCAATGAATCACTTCTGGGAATGAGCCGAATTCTTGTTCTTTGTTACTAGGTGTGGTGTTCGTTCTCCAGACTTTTGATGAGCTGAGATTTTCTCATGCTATTATCAGTTTTTGCCCAAAGTTGACGTGCGTCACAAGCTAACCCTGAAACACATGAAAAAAACTGCAGTGCACTCAGTTTCTTCCCATAACGTGGTCTTAGAGCAGTTTACCTCTTACATCTCATCTTTCAGCCAAACACACACCGCCTTTGGACTTTGGAGAGCCCATCTATATTTTAACAGTTAAACAGATTGGGGAGTAAATGTTCTGCAGCCATTTAACTTTAATTTACTTTACTTTACTTTACTTTACTTTACTTTACTTTACCTTTACCTTTACTCTTCTATTAGATGGCAAAGAATAATAAAATAAAATGAGTCAGCATTTAGAATGTGCAGTTTGAAAACTTTAGTCAAGCATTGGACTCACAGTTTGTAACAGTCAAGATGGTCTGATTTTAAGATTAACAGAAAGGCAATTTCACCAGGCAGTGATCCCATATTGCAGGACCCTGTAGAAAAATAATCAAATCTGTCTCCAAATAAACTCAGTCTCCATGGAAAATAAATTTCCTGTCGCTGCCGATGTCCTCCATATGTGTACTCCAAAACAAGTAGCATCCAAATAAATTGCTAAATATTTATGGATTGTAAATGGTGAATAATAAGACTCCTCTGGAAGAGCAATGTGGATTTATTTCTTAATTTGTTTTAGTTAATAGTAGGGGTCTATTAGTATTCAGTGAGAGTAGGTTGGTTGGGAGATGAGACTTGAGACTTAAACTGACAATATGTATGTAAGAACCTCTTTATCTTTGCATATAAATTATGTCTAAATCAAATAGGCCTTTCACATTGCATTAATACACAGTGGCTCATTGTTAATCTATTGCATGCATCTTAAAACATATCTTTTAGTTTTCTGTTTTCTGATCAAATTTTAATCCATGCTTTTATGTAATGGGTTTAAATAAATCATGTCATATTTGTATCTCTCCATCCATTTTATTTTGAAAGTCTGAGGTCTTTATCAGAAGAAGAAATTGCCAAGGTTTATTAATCCTCTCTATTTATTTATAAATTTATTCCATTATGCATTTTTTTTTACCTGTGATGCAAGATGAATTCAATTTGTATTTGATAAAGTATAAACAAAGTAATTTAGTCTAGGAATTGTATCAGAAAACAGAACACCTACACACAAGCACAAGACCCAGCGCATGCAGGTGACCTGGAGTTCATGTAATTCTAGGAGCTCGGGTGTGTCTTTGTGCGTGTCAGTCGGTACGCTTGAAAAAACCAATGCCCATTTTCCTGAGCACTAGCTAACCAGTACTGTGTGGTCTCAGGAACATTGACAGGACACTGTGGCTTTGACTCCAGTGCTCTTTATTTTTTTACCAGTTCTAATTTTAGAATCTAGTAGCTGAGGTTTATTCTACTGATGCTTTAATTGTCGTTGTAGGTAAAGAGGAGCTGCTCCATTACCTTTAAGTAAAAGATGAAATAATTCTGTGTTGCATTTCTCTTGCCGCCCTCCAGAGGGCTCTGGTTTCAAAGCAGACCCTTCTCTCATGGACTTTGGTCAATCCAACCCTGAGGATGAAGACCTGTACAGCACACGCAGCTGAGAGAGCAGTCGGCAACAGGACAGACCTCATTCCCACACTGCCATCTCATCCGGGCTGACAAACACTCTGTCATTATGCATTGTAAATTGCCATTTTGCAAGCAAGCATAGTTAGAAGGTCTTTTATCAATATTTCCATTCTCATTTTTTTCTGCCTACATCATTTATATTTCCACAGAAAACAGCCAAGTGAATTTGCATTGCAAATAGCAGCAAGCAGTGGCAGTTTATGTAAAAGAACTGAAACCCAGAAAAAAAATACACACCCACAACTGTTTACAAGTCTTTTAATTCACAGATGGCAGATTGTGAAAATTTCTCTCTGTTTGTGTCATTTAACAATCACTGGCTTTTGTGCTAGAGCTTTTACAGTCATGAGTGCATGGTGCTTTTATTTATTGTAATTTAGCCCACTGTGTTGGTAAGGTGAAAACACTGCTCATGTGCTGGAAACAGTTACAAGATGGACTAGTGCTGTTCCATTTTGTTACATCAAAAATGGTCTTCTCTTTGTTGATTTGAAGAACTCAAAATAAATCTATATTTTTCAGGGATTTATGTTGTCTTCTTGACTAAGTATTCGGTTTTTGGACTCCAGTCAAGTTCTCGACACATCGTGACGATAATTAAAACAAAAAGGATGAACCTGGCCACAGTTTGGAGTGCCACAGCAAATGGTCTGAATATTTTTGTAAATGAGAGATTTCAGTTTTTGATTTTTTTAATAAATTTGCAAACAACTATAAAAAAACAAACAAACATGTTTTCACTTTGTCATTATGGGCTCTTAAATGTGAATTGATTAGCAAAAATGGCAATTTTATCCATTTGCAATTAAATCCACAACACAATAGTGTGCAAAAAGAGGTGGGGTCTGAATACTTTCTGAAGCCACTGCAGGCACACAGATATAGATATATACACACATATATTTTCTTTTGTGAGCCTGTGCATGCTGACATTAGTATTTAGCTAAAAAGCACCAGTGTGTCAACATACAGCTACACAGAGCTGCTAGCATGGCTGTGGATTCATCAGACTCATTTTACAAGTTGGAATACAATTTACTCATTTAGTAAAGCCAAGTTAAACCAAGTCAGAAACTGACTGATTTGAACTGAACTGTTTCATTGGTCAGTAAAGTAACTGCCAAACTGGTAGCAATATCTCGCTCCAAGTGATACAGTCATTGTGGTCTCCTGAAGTAAAATCTGGGACGTTAAAGTCATTAATATTTAAATAGTAGATGTAATATCTGTATAGGATGTGAGCAAACATTAGTCATGGAAGTTATTATTTCAAGGCGGTCTGAAAGTTTGAGCAACAAAAACGTGTGTATGAACCCTGAGAATTTCACGTACACTTTGCAAAGCATTTTTGGTGCCACATGTTTTTGCTTATGTCCGTGAGTGCACTGTTTGTACCAAGGGACAAGGCTATCTGTTAACATCTTTATAGCCTCTTTACTGCTCCTCAGAGGAACCAGAGCTGCCTGGACCTCATAAACTCTGCATGAGGTTGACCAGAGTCATGACCCTCGGGCGTGTGTGTCTTCATATATGTGTATAAGAGAGAGAAAAAAGAAAGGGAGGTAGATGGCAGATCAATTAGACGTCAATACTTTTTTCATCTTCCTTCCTGTTGTACATGGAGAAAAACACACATATGGGAACCAAGCTTTCTGTAGCATCTGAGATTTCTTGTTTGAGTTGAGGGGTTGAGGGATTTGCTGGCTGGTGTGACTGTGCTGTGTTTTAGACAAACACTACCAAATGTTGTGATAAAAAAAAGTTCAGAAAGCTCCAGAAACTCTGTGTCCTTCCACAAAACAGTGTTAATAAAACCACATGGAACATATTGACTCAGTTCAAAATAGAACAGAGCAGAGAGAGTGGGAGTGCTGGAAATCTGTGCAATCTTTTCTTCTCACAACTTGTTAGGAAGGATGGACATCTTGTAGCTATAAGCTGAGGGCCACATTGTTAGAGGTTTCAGAGCCCACCCTGCCCCCGCAAGATGTGACACTAAGTATAGCCTCATCTCACCTCTCTCAAGGGTCCCCTTCACATATGGGGCCCCATTTCCTTACAGTATCCCACACAAGCAGCAGCTATGATAATGTCCTGAGAACTAACGTTAGAGAGTAGTCCAAAACTCTCTCAGATTTTTTTCTTGACCAACAGAGAGGAAGTGGGGCTCACAACCCTGACCTTTCACCTTTCACCCCTGTGAGCCAGATTTTCCACAGAGGACTTTGCAGGGGTTATGGTTTGTGGTGGCTATCTTCCCAGGGTCCGGTTAGTGAGAGAGACCCCCACCATCAAATAAACACATAGCACATTTATCAGCAAAATATATAAACACAACAATTATGTAAGCCATTTCAGGGCGTTTGTGAATATAGTGTATGTTTACTTGTGCACATCTTATTCCTTTTTCGTCCTGTGGGTCCGTGTGTGTATATAGTATGTGCACATGTTTTTGTACAGTTTCCTGTTCCTGCAGATAAAATGAGATTATGGCAGTTTATTCTGTTTATTGCAAACATACTGAGCATTATGCCCGCTTAGAGTCACTGTATGTGTTATTCATTAAAAATAAATAATTAGTTTGGCAGTTTTGCAGACTGCTGTTATATAAACTGTGTTAACTTTTTGGTTGCTCAAAATCCACTGTTATATAATCATTACATCTTGTTCAATGAGTGGAAAGAAAAAGAAACTTTTGAAAAACAAGAGTAGCAAAGAAATTAAATGTCATTAAAAAAAAAATTGGCCAGGAAATTGATGTCCAGTGAGGGCTGTGATGTAAGTTGATGTTTGATACTCTCTGCTCCATTGCTCTTCTTATCTACTGACTGTACAGACACACACTCCCGCACATGCTCAAACTATTAATCACTCAGCCTTTCAATTTGTGCATGCCATGTAACAACCAAAAAAAACATGGCAGATATTGAATTTGGTAATAGAAATACCTTAAAAAGTGAAACAACTATCTATGTGCTCTACAAGCTTGTTTCATTGATTGGAAATAGGATAAAGTTAGATTGCCATTCCAAATGTAGACAAAGGTCAAAGGATGGCAAACAAAAGCAGCTGAGATAAAACAGGTGAAAGTAAGACTGACTGTAACAGAATGAGATGTCTCATTATGAAAGTCAGTCATGTTTTCACTGTGTCATGGAGAGTTAAAGCAGTCGTGGAGGAAGTAGTTTCCTCTTTTACTTACACAACAGTCATAACAACACAATGTGAACATGCTTTGTTAGCAGCCTTGTAGACACAATGGTGTTTTGAGCTAATTGCTAACACTAACACAGCACCATGCTTACAATGATGCTAACATGCTGATGTTACCTTACCTTATTGTGGTAGCATGCTAACATTTGCTAATGAGCAATATACATAAAGTAGAGCTGAGGCTGCGAGAGAGTCACTCGTTTTCCAAGTATTCAGTCATAAAGCAAAGTATTGGATTTTGACATGTGCTAAAGTGGTCCACTTAAGACAGATTGACATTGCTGCTAGCATGGCTAAAAATGTTACTTAAGTAGAGGTATTATCACCAAATTGTACTTAATGTATTAAAAATGAAATCATTATGCAGAATGCGCTCTTTCAGAATGTTATATCATTGATATCGGCCTATTAAATTACTGGATGTTTAAACATGTCACAAGGATTTTAATGCTGTAGCTGGCGGCAGTGGCTAATGTTGGGTAGTTTTGTCTATAAGAATATGTGGTTTTATGAACTGATCATATGTTTTGAATGTTAGTGTGCAAGATAACTAGCTGCCAGATAAATGTAGAAGAGCAGACTACAATATTTCTACAATATTTCTCCATCAAATGTGGTGAAGTCGAAGCATAAAGTAGCAGAAATTGGTACAGCTCCTCAAAATTCAAGCACATTAAATGAAATGTGCAATGTGGAGGCAGAGACACATTTGTTTGTTTTCTCTCTTCATCTATTTATCTTGGCCGGCATGTCACCACAAATTTCTGTTTTTAGTTGTTGCACGTCATGACTAAGGGCCCTTGGCTTCTCTCTCAGTGTGTATGTGTCTGAGAACAACTGTGCATACCCAGCATGCCAGTAAAAGAACACTGCATTATGAAGTTTCCATTTTGGAAAGCATTCCCATTTTAATAGTTCTGCAACAGCGCATTCCCAATTTCTCATGTTCTGCAAGTAGGCAACAGCAGAGCTCTTCATTTGCAGCCTCCAAATTCCGCTGCTTTCTTTCTCACCTTCATCTGTCATCCTCACCGTCAGCTTTCCCACGGCTTTTAGAACATGGCACATCCTGATAGATACTCAATGGAGCAGACACACACACACACACACACACACACACACGCACACACATCTGAACACACAGAGAGAGGCAAGCGCATTCTGTCAATGCATTCATGCCAGGCTGAGATTTAGATACAGTTGCACAAGTATTGAGGCATAGATGTACACACGCACGTGCACACGCTTGTGCACACGTAGGGATAGATGCATGCTCACACTGTTGATCAAAGGAGCTGTGATGTAATCAGTCTCAGAGCTTTGCACGCATCCCTCATTAACTTTCACCAGAGGCTTTAATGAAAAACCACTGGAGGGAATCTCCTCTTTCTCTCCCTCTTTCCTTCTCATCTTCTCGTTCACTCCCTGCAGTATCCGCTCGTCCTCCTCCTCATTCATCTTCCGCACTGTGCCCCCCCCCCCCAAACTCTCCCTCTGCCCCAGTGGCTGGCTTGACTTCCGCTGAGACAGAGTAAATATTTCCCATGGCTTATCTGACCGCTGGCAGAACGAATATGACACAAAGTGCGAGACTCTGCTAATTAACGCAGCCTCCATTCCTTGGGTCAGAGGCCCTGACGGGGACAGTTTGACACCTCAAACACACTCGTGTCCTATTCATAATAGTAGTATAGGTATGGCATGTGATTGTGTGTCTACAGTCATTTGAGACGCAACTTTTACTGTAACACACATCTTGATTTGGTTTTCTTAGTTTTGGCCTTTTCTCGTTGAGACTCTGAGAGGGATGGAAAGAAAGGGAGGATAAAATGAAGAACAGGGAGAGAAACTTTCTCTTTCTCCTCCCTCTCTTGCTGCAGGCTGGCTTGAGTCCAGGTAAGTCCAGCCCCTTGGTAATGTTGAAGGTATGACGTTAAGCAACTTCCCTGTTGTGCAATAATCAAGAGGGCTCCTGGGGGCTATAAGACCCCCCAACCTCATCTGGTTTCTCAGAGCCTCCAATCTGTTTTCTCCAAGCGCACACACACACATGCACTCACACACACGCACATGAACACAGAGGCATGATATGGTCCAGGGTGCTCAGCTGCGCAGATTTCACTTAGAGGGGTCGAGGAGCAATTGTCAAGACATGGACTTTAGCCAACAGAAGCACTGAAAACCGCTTGACTGGTTGGACTGGATGCTCATTAACTTCAGGTAAAATTAATTCTTTATATAAATAGAAATTATATATTAAGTCTGGTTGATTTGATGATACATATCCTCTCTTTTCTACCACTAAACGTTTTTATCTATAAGATGTTTTTTGTATTTCAAAAAGTTATCTGAAGATTTCCCCTGTATTACTGACTGCCTGCTTTAAATTCTATTTGTTGTTTTTTCTGTTATTAATAATGAATTCTTCCCGTGCACTGGATGGTAATAGGATCACTTTCTGTGGCTTTTAAGATTCCTGTAAAACTATTAAAACGAAAATTAAGCTGACACTTTCTTAATCTAAATCATGAATGTTTCAAAAACGTATTTCAGCCATTAATACAAAATACATGTTTCTGAGGAACCCAATAAACAGACAGCTTATTACAGCCCCTTCATTTGTATTTCATTATTGCCCAGCCTCGAAAATGGTGTAATGTATTGTTGCTGCGATTAGTTATCAAGAAGGACAGCTAATAAACACTTGAGCCAGCTACAGATTACCACGTAGGAATACTTTTTCTTCATCCATAAAAGGCAGCAGAATTTTTTATGCTCTCCTATTTTGTTTTATTTCCAGCTGACCTTGGAAAACCGAAAGGAGGGAAGTCAAACTGTGTGACGCAAGGGTACATCCAGTTCCATAATGGCGATCCCAAATGACCTCTCCATTTTCAACACCTCTGCCCCTTATTTAACTACAGAGATCTATTCAAACATCTCTTTTGCCCCTTCTGCCCAACCCTGCGCAGACTGGCCTCCTGTACCCATGACCACAGTCATCCCCACCATCTACAGCATTATCTGCGTGCTGGGAACTGTAGTCAACGCCCTGGCGGTGTCTGTGTTGGCCCACGCCGGTACCTCAAGGAGAACTGTTGCCAACACTTTCATGCTGAACCTGTGTGTGTCTGACCTGCTGTTCTTGCTGTCACTCCCGCTGTGGGCTGTCTACTACTCCCGGGGCTACAGCTGGCCCTTTGGCCGGGTGGCCTGCAAAATCTGTGGGTTGCTCCACAACCTCAACCTCTATGCATCTATCTTCTTTATCACATCCATGAGCATGGACCGCTACCTGGCCATCGTGCATCCGCTCCGCTCCCAGAGTGCACGAGACCCCAAACGTGCCCGGCTCACGTGCATCCTGGTGTGGGTTCTGGCCTGTGCTTGCTCAGCCCCCACCTTTGCTTTGAGGGACACACACCACCTCAAGTGGCTTGATGTGGAGGCCTGTGTGATTTTATATCCTGACCATACATGGTATATGACCCTGATCTGGATGAAGATTGTTCTGGCCTTCCTCCTGCCGCTGCTGATCATCTCCTGTTGCTACTGTGCTATTGGCAGACATTTGTTGGCTGACACAGGGCTGGTAAGAATGCAAAATCCGTCGCACCCCTCCAGCATGCCCTCTTTTAAATCGTCGGAGTCCCAGGAGAGCTGCGGTAAACCAGAGAGACCTCCGACCCCCTGTGTGAGCCCCAGCTACAGCGGGGGCAGACCCCTGGAGGGCAGGGGGCTGGAGCGGGTTTTGTGGACTGTAGCCGCTGTGGTCCTGGCCTTCTTCCTCAGCTGGTTTCCCTTTCACTGCGTGACCTTCATAGATATGTTGAAGAGCGAGGGCTGGTTAGACAGCTGCTGGGTAAACTGGACCATCCACAACCTGACCCCTCTCACCCTCTGCTTGGGCTTCTCTAACTCAGCTATCAACCCTGTGCTCTATTGCTTCATTGGAAACCATTTCCGGGGCCGTCTCGGCAGCCTCTGCAAGGGCCTGTGTGCTTGTTTGAAGGCGCGTGGGGAAGATCACAGCCAGAAGAGGGGCTCCTTCAGCACCAGACTGAGCTCCTTCTCCCGAAAACTCAGTGACCTGAAAGACCTTGCAATTCTGGAGCCCAGTGGTCCTGCTTAGCCAGCTCCCAGAGAGGACACTTTCCTTTCCCTCCACTGGCTTCACACCCTAAAGAACGAATGTCAAATGACTGCTGAACTTGGGATGTGTGAGACAGAGCTGGTACTATAAAATTCTATAAAGCTATAAAACTATAAAATTCCAGCAGAGCTCAACTCTGCCCTACAGAGCTAGAAAAAGTAACTACAGAAAAGATGGAGATGAGAAAAAAATGGGTTGAAAGTTTTGAGGCTGGTGAAAACAATGTGACAATGTGAAAGGGGTCACTTGTAGTGATGAATTATTCACGACATCTGCAGCTCTACGCAGCTTCACTGGGCTTTATAGTGAATTTCAGCTCAGTGCTTAGCCGTCCCACCCCCAGCTTTCCTGTTTTGGTTCATTCTCATCGCTCTCATGGTGTTGTTTTCTGCAACAGCAGGCAGCTGCCTGACTTATTTTCGGTCAAAAAAAAAAAAAAAAAAGCACTAAAAATCCACTGTACACTATGTGCAGACAGACAGTTAATGACTGGTGGACATAGTGGAGCATTTAGTAGCTAAAGATCCAGATATTTCCCTAAGGAGTTGGTAGAGACCAAAAACAGAAAAACAGAGAGTGCATATTGGACCCACATTCATCACATGGACTGAGACACGACTCCACATGAATCATTATGTTGCTCTGTAAATGCTGGATGTGTAAATACACAACTGTTTGCTAACAAGTTCTCCATATCAACTTATGTTAAAATGTGATGATGTGTCCTGTGTCAGTGTAAATAAATCAGTTATTAAAAGGTTAAAAGGTACAGAAAAGAGCCTTCAAACCTGTAGCGAGTCCAGCTGAGATGACACTTACAACTACTCTGCTAAGCTAATGTTAGGCTTGTTAGCTTTTAGCAGGACTAGTTTAGCTGCTGCTACCATTTCTGTTTCTTCATCATAGTAAGATTTAGCTGCTGCCTCATTCATGTGGGATGATTTCTGTAAGCTATTGGATGATCACAATTGATTTTTCAATTACAGAAAAGGAGTACAGAAAAGAGACGGTAAATTTAGCATGTGGTTTGTGGCTATCTCACCAGCTTTTTTGGCAGTCTTGCTAAATATACATGCAGTTTTCTCTAAAAGTATACTTTTTTGTACCATAATAATGTTTTATATCGGAAAACAAATATGAAAAAATCTTATTTTGCTCTTAATTCAATTTTGACTAAATGTGTAGTTACCCTGTTTTGGCTTTGTAAGGCAGAACAGGCCAAAAGAGATTGAAATAAAGCTATATAAGGATAATTATTAACCAGTCGTAACAATGCTATTTTCACTGTTCTTTTTGGGACCAAGATATTATATTTGTAATCATGTAACTTGTACCATTTATTTTGTATTATTCTCTAAAGATAGTTTAGAAATAAAAAAATCACTGCATTTCTTTGACTGAGGAAGAAATAAAAAAAATGCAGTTTCATTGTTTGATATCATTCTCTCTTCTAAAATGGGGCATTTGTTGAATAATTTTGGTCCAGCTCCACACAGGCATCGATTTTGTGAAACCCATCCCATTTACAATTTTATGTTCTTTTTCCCAATCTTACCCTCCAACAGCTGTGACTGAGAGCTTCCCCCACCTGGGAATGAGAGTGCTGGGATTACTGTCGGCCTGGCAGATGGACATTCAGTCTCCCCTCTTTTTCCTCTCGTCCCAGAATGCCTCACATGGATTCCGTACATATCAAGGCCAGATATCATAATCTCATACTAATGTCCTTATGAAGCATTCCAGTCAGGCCACTTGTGTTGGTTGAGGGAGCCGCCAGCTAATCAATGATGTATCTCTGTCTGCTATTTGTGTCCAGTATAGATCCAAAGCATTCTGCATTGACCCTGGGCTGCCTCTCTGAGCTGAGGGCCAATGGAGTATGGTGTAATTTTGTTTTCTGGGGAAGGGTATGAGATTATTACTGTACACACAAGAAGGTTAAGTGGCTAACACTAGGCGTGCTTTTTTCTGTGAAGCTGGAGTTTTTCTATATCATACTTATAACCAAGGTAGTCTGAATGTTTTTACACATTAATATAGCACCCAAAAGGTATCCGGTCCATACTTGAGTCTCCTTGAGGTACATCATTCCTCATTAATCCTCCAGACTTTGCCACTGGATGGCGCTAAAGTGCTGTAGAAGCAGTGAATAAGGTGCCCCTGGCTGCTAATTCAGACAGAGCCCCCTAGTCCCACCGCTCATGATCTTTTTGAGCTGAGGGAAAAATGGCTGTGACACAGACTGATGACTCATGTAGGCTACAGTTCTGAATGTATAAAAACAGACATCCTCAACAAACGCTGCATTAAAGAGAGCCACAGGCTCAAAGAACATACCAAGTGGTAGAATCACATGCTTTGACTTTCTGTTGGGTCTTGTGGTGGTCTGAAGGACTCCATGTGGTCGTGACCACGGTCTAAATGAAAAGCATTGAAACCCTGAATAAAATACATCTTCACGACAGATTAAAATACCAGATGCAGTGCTATCACCTTGGTAAAATCTCATGCCATGTTACTGCTGCAAACATTCAATATTTGATTCACCAGCTCCTTAATTTGACACAACAGATCTCTCCGACTGACAGGACAGATTGCAGGATGAGTTTGTTGCTGCGCCACAGTATGTTCATGCACACAACTTCATTAGCTGACACCTCACTCTTCTATAGAGCAGGTGTAAGTGTCCTTGACACATGTTTAATAAAAAACAGGCCGGTGATGTGACTGAGAACATGTGCTTTGCCGAGTGGATGTGTGATGAGACAATGTGAGCCGAGTACGTATAAGGAACTTCTTTAAACAGCACCTAAAATGTCTTCTGACACTTTAATCCAACATGTGAAAATTGTTAATCTGATATTATTAGAGTAATGTAATTAGACTAAATGTAAATTAGTCTTTTTTCTTTTCTTTTTTTCTTAAGTAAAATAAAAAAATAAACTGTTAAATTGCAAGTTTAGGTAAAGAAATGAAAATATTGCAGATGTTTTTTCTAATTTTGCCAATGGAGGAAAATAACTGAATACATATGCTCAAGTACAATCTTCAGGTATTTGTACTCACTATATTTCACTTCTTTTGGGAAATATTGTCCTTTGAATGTGTTGCATTAATTTGACACCTATAGTTCTTTTTAGATCATGATTGTACATAATTAAACCAATGATTCCCAACCTTTGAAAAAAAAGATTAAAAAAATCAGTGTGTACTTGATGCCTCTTGTCATATTTTAGATGTGTATGAGTTGTTAATAGTTCCACCAAAGAGATTTCCCCCTCAGATGTTTTCATTTAAATAAATGTTCTGGATCTAAAGAAGTAAAATGATCCAGAATTTCAGAATTCATATCAGATATCAGAGAAGAGTCCAAACACTTTATACAAATTTTAGGATTCAAATATTAAACTAGTTCCACCTATACCAACTATAATAGTGAACTACTGCTTACACATCAACAACATAATTCTTTCATATGTAATAAAATATCAGTCACAGGGGCCATTTTTCTGCTGAACAGGTACTTTATTTTTTTTCATATTTTAAGTACATTTTGCTGATAATACTTCTGAACTTAAGTTGGATTTGGAATGCTGGTCTAACTTGTGATGAAAGCATTTTACATTACTGTATTTACTTACTGTAGATAAAGGATCTGAATATTTCCACCACTGAGTTTTACACATCACTATTCATGGAAATCGTGGTGGAAACAGACAGGATAAGCAAACTTCTCTTAATAAGAAAACAAAGCAAGGCCTCCAGATAATTGAACTGGAAACAGTGTAAGTCATTGCATAAGCACAATATACGTTTTCCTGTTTGAAAGGATTGTATTGTGTTTTTTTTATCCCTCTCTTGTGCTTTCTATTGTTGTGGAAATATTCAGTTTGAATCTTTGAAGTTATTTCCTGTTGAAAAATACGATCATTTCCTGAGAGATACACAAACCCACATTTTACGCGTGTGTGTACGTGCACATGTTTGTGCCTTGTTGAAAAGAGGAAGACTGCGAGCACCAAGCCATAAAGGTTAGAGGTTAGACAGAGCTGTTATCAGTCTCGGCGAGAAAGTGGAAAATCAGAGAGCTCAGGATCCCAAACAGACATTTGAAACAGCAAGGAGCAAATATCAAATGAGAGGCTTGACAGCTGCCTTACCTGTGGTGTTCCCAGTCTACAGCATATGCAGTGACGACCAAAAGGCTTGCCTGCAGTGAAAAGTTGAAGACAAGAAAGAGTGAGAGCGAGTGAGAGAGAGAGTTGGCACTTGGGAGCAGAGCAAAAAAGCAGATCTGGGGATTGCCGTGATGGAAAACCTGCCTGTCTACCATGGACCCATCGGCAAGGAAGAGGGGGAGAGGCGGCTGGCCCAGGACGGCCGGGATGGGTGCTACCTAGTCCGCAACAGTGACTCTGTACCAGGCGTCTACTGCCTGTGTGTGCTGTGAGTATAAACAAAAATTGTACAATAGCTCTTTTTGTTCTGCTTCTGCTTAGGCCATTACTGAAACCTCAGCAATCACATCAACACATAATCCTATTTTCTACTGTTGTAGAGATTATTGATCTCCTCACATTTAAGAAGATAAAAGCACAAAGGGATAAACAAACAATCTGGATGTTAAGTGAAACCAAAAAATATGGTGACCTATCTTTAAAAGTGTGAGTCCCACAAATAAATAGAGCATTCATGTTTACAGTATTGGCAGATACCTATTTCATTACTCGATAAACTCAGGGTCAAAGGTGTCTATGTGTGTGTGTGTTTCTGTATGTGTGTGTGTGCAGGTGCAATGGATACGTCTACACATACAGACTCCAAAAGGATGAGGCAGGCTCATGGGCAGCAGATGTGAGACATTTCATCTTATTTTAATTTATTTTATATTTTTGCTTTTTTGTCTGCAGTGACTAAAAAACCTAAAAGCTTACGGAGCCAGCGCAACAAGCTGCACATCCACATCACATCCGCCTCACATCCGCTGGTGTTTATTAGTTTTAGAGGTTGTTTTGGGGACAGTTTAATTCAGCAAGCTGTAAATTTGAGGCGAACATGTAATTTTTGGGCGGAGGGAAATGGCTTCATTTCTTTTCCTTTAGCAATAACACCGTCTGAGATAGCCCACCCGCACCCCCAACCACGACTCAAATTTGAGACACCTCAGCATCAGCATATACGCCAGAGATGGGAAACGTAGAACTGCATTTGACAGCATTTCTGATGGGATATGTAATTGAGCGCTGAGGATTGGCAAACACCCAGAGATGTGAATGTATAGAGACATCTGAAGGCTGTGTCTCTCTCTGACAACTAAGCTACACGTTGTTGTAACTACATTTTACCCTCGCTCATTTTCACTGACAGCATCAAACAGATGGGGGTGGGGTGGGGTGGGGGGTGGGGACTTGAATTACAGGAATTTCACTACAAGCTCAATAACAGTTTACATTATTCATGTGCAATATCAATCACTTTAATGAAATATTCTTGAGAACAGAGGTAACACTTGTGGCCGGAGACAGAAACATCCAAAGTGCTTTGCTGTGGGAAGTGCTCTCTGCGTTTGATTAAGTCACTTTAAAATGCATTCAAACAAAATTTTCACCATTTCATACAGCATGATTGAAAGAAGAGAATGAAAACACATAATGCTTTTTTAAAAAGTACTTACTTGACAAAATTAGAATACTCTGAAAGCTTTAAAACTTTGTAGTTTAGAGAGATTAAATATTAAACTAACAGCTTTAGGCAAAGTGGAAAATGTATGTGTGTTTTCAATTAGAAATAACCAAAAACGCCCTGAAAGATCCTTGATTAAGCTGCATTTCATTAAAACCAAACGAAAACCGACAGATAAGACATAAAATCTTTGTTGCAACAAAAGATGAATTCTAGACATTATATTTTATTTTTGTTTACGCCACAGATCATTTCTAAAAATGATCTTTGAGCTATTTCAGTTTGATTCAGTCACAGGTAAAGCTGTAGAGATAATGGGATACTTTAAGCATCTTAGATGTCACACATAAATCCTAAAATAAATGCTTTTTGTTGACTAACAAAATATAAAAAATAAGCCCAGGGGAGTGAATGCTTTCAGAGGCAACTGCATCCTGAATTTTCTGAATTTAGCTTTTAAACCCCTTGAGCATATTATCCATCTGGGTCTACAATAGTGTTTACAGCAATCATAGACCAGCTTCTTTTGCATCATCTCATTTATTGATGTGTGTCCTGTTGTCTTTAACTGTGGATCAGTGGTCAGATATACATTAAAAATAATTGCCATGATTCCCGACCCTTTGCACAGTGTTTCTGTCTGTACTTTTAGCGCATCTGATGTCTTCTATAAAAGGTGAATCTGTGAGAGCTCATTTCAAGCCGGCCCTGTCCCGTCCTCCTCATTTCCCCTGTGGGGGTTTGATGTTGAGATGGAGATGATGGAGATGCTGAATTCTCTTCTGCCTTTTTTTTTTTTTTTTTTTTCTTCTTCTTGTGTTACAGACCACTCCTGGTGTGCAGAAACGATATTTCCGGCAAATCAGGAACTTGATAGCAGCTTTCCAGAAGCCTGATCAAGGAATTGCCATGCCTCTGCTCTACCCTGTCACCGCTCAGAGACGGGCACAAACACACACAGAGGCACAGACACCCAGTAATAGCCTGTCGCCGACACACAGCAGCCCAAACGCATACCTCCATCTGCAGCAGCCGCCACATGCAGCTCAGGGACAGAAAAAAAGGAACAAGAAGGAGGTGCGGAAAGCTTTCGGTTAGGCGCAACCCCTTATCTCACTGTTGACCCAATTATAAACACAAATACTGTCTTTGCATGATGCCTACTGCTGCACTTTGCTGGCTGTGTGTGAAGTAACTGTCATTTTTTTTGCAATTAAGCAGCTCCTGTTTGTTAAATGCAGTCATTTAGACTCTAGCAGTGACTCAGATCTCAGTATCCATCCAGTCTCTTTTTCCTTCTGCATATGCGGCAAAGAGAGGGGCTCATAACTTTCAGGGATGTGATGTAAAATATTCAACTTCTCCAACATTAATATCCATTACTGCATACGCAAGTTGACAACAAATATTGTGCTCTGTTTTCTTAATGCAATTCAGTTGTGTGAATGGCAAAGAAAATAAATGATATTGGTTGAAATAAACTCTTTTAAATGAGGTCATGCATACACAGCCATACACACCCGAGCCTCCGTCTGACATATAATGTGGAACAAAAATTCAATTTGACATATTGAAGTACTGATTTCCATGGAGAGAGTGCTGACTGCTGGAGTGGGAGGGGGGAGGTGGGTGGGGTGGGGGGTCTGTCATTCATCTGATTGACATCACTGGCTCCTCATGAAAAAAATGACGGAGAGAGAAAGAGAAAGAGAGAGAGACATTGAGCATCCATTCAGCCCATACAATTCTTCAGTGCAGCCGTCTCCTAGCAACCGGACACTCCATCTTTTCACCGCCGAGATGAGGTTGGACAGTATCTAGCGGAGCATATGGTTTAGAAGGGAAGGTGCATCGCAGCTGATCAGCAGAGTGCTACTCAGGAACGTATATCACCTGCTCGCAGTCAGAACATATGCATTGTGTGGCTCTGTCATCCGCAGCCCAGGAGAGAAACACAAACAATTAATGGTGGGCAGATGGTGGAGTGACGGTGGGAGGGAGGCGAGCGGGGGATAGGCAGACGGACGGGGAGGTGGATTAGTGGTAGCTAGATTAAAAAAAGAAAAAAAGAAAATGACAAACAAACAAACTTCTTTACTTTCTTTTTTAACTTTTTTGGTGGGGAGAGGCTTGGAAGTGGTTCACATGTAGTCTGATTGGCATTTCCTAATGAGAGGAGACAAGCTGTAGAGAACAGCACAGCCAACTCCAGGTCCTGCCCCTTCTGCACTCACCACCCACTCGCTGAGCCTCAGCTGTCACATTTCTTTTTCCCTTCCTCTGTGCTTTTTTTTCTTCTCTCTCTCTCTCTTCTTCTTTTGACAGACGCAGGTTTCTCATGCATATCTCAGTTTGAGCCATAATGATGGGTGATAATGACAGCACAAGATTTGAAAGTTACAAACTTCCAGAAACAAGAACAAAGAGCACACAACAAATGTGTAGAGTGAAGGCACAGAGACAGAGGAGACGCCTGAGAGAGAGCGAGAGCGAGAGAGCGTGAGAGAGCGAGAGAGAGAGAGAGAGAGAGAGCGAGAGAGAGCGCAGACACAGAGACACAAATATAATAAGGAACAATGCCTATGAAATCCCAGGGAGCAATCTGGTAATTCACACATAATAACTTTAATCAGCATTGTAACCCAATAAAGTCAGAATTTTCAGCGAGAATATTTACTATAGCCATGTATAATTCTTTGCAAAAATGTAACTGTTTTTCTATTGATTAACAATACTGACACTTACTTATGAACAACAGAATTTCCAGTTGAGCACTTTTTTTCAGTGTGAAAGCACTGGCTATGTACATTCTTGATTTTAGTATACACACTCATACAAACTACTGTTGGAGCACACCAGAGGTGGAAAACCCCATGAGGTTTCCTTCTCTAAAGGGGAGTGTCAGAGTCGACAAGGCCTCTCTTACACAATATGTAAACGATAGTATTTCCGAGGTAAACCATGTAGGAACTCAAATGGCAACCGGAGAGCTCTTGATTTGAGTCATGAAGAGGATTATTCACTGGCAAATCCTAAAGTCTTCATCTCTACAGTTCAGTGAGTTTGAACAGTTTCAAAATGATGAACAGTGTTGAAACAGCAAATGACAGACAGACAGTCAGTCAGTCAGTCAGTCAGTCAGTAAGTCAGTCGGTCGGTCGGTCAGTCCCAGGCCAGTTGGGATACAAAAAGCAAAGCCACAGCCAAACCACACTGCTTGTGCCACTGTTAGAAATTGGAGAAACTGGACGATAATAATAAAATACCATCATTTTGTCACAATTAAAGGCATTTGGAAATCATTTTTTCCCCCAATCTCTCTTCTTGTTCTTCTTTGTCGTCATCTTCTTCTTTTTTTTGATACAGTATAGAAACAGTAGAACAAATCAGAGTAGAGTAGAAACAGGCAGTCTTTGGTGGGGTGGGGGGCTGCTCGTGTGTCTCTGTTACCTGCCCCCCACCTCGCTCAGTGTCATAAAGTGGATGTTGGAGGGGCAGTCGGACAGCTCCGGCTGCTGCTCTATAGGCAGGGAGTAGTAGCCGTCGTAACCCTGAACCCGTCCTCCGGACAGCAGCTGCTGCTTCTCCGCCTCGCTCCACACCCTGCTCCCTACGTCCCCTAAATCCACCCTTTTCCTCTCCTTCTCCCATGCCCCCTCTACCGCTCTCTTCCTTGCCTCCTCCCTCACCCGTGCCCTCTCCTCCTCCTCGTTCCCGCCGTAGCGCACGCACAGACACAGCGCCCCCTGCTGGAGAGTGATATCGGCGAATCGTCGAGTCCTGCCGTTCACCGTGGCGCTCATCTGAGACACGCTCACGTTCACACCGCTCTCTAGGACACGTCCCCCAACTCCCAGCCCCAGGGCGAGGTCTTCTTCGATTGGCCGGGACTGGAGGAAGTGGTGGGTGTCGCAGCCGTGCACAGTGAAGCTCAGCCCACTCAGGTGGACGGCGCCATTCAAAATGGCTGCCACGCGACGGCTGTCCTCGCTGGCTACGCCGATGACTTCAGCGCTGACTCGGCCATGGGCGACTGCAAATCGGATGCTGGGGCCGAGAAGAGAGGGTCTGGAACCAAAGGGAGGAGGGCGTGTCGGCCTGTGGCAGGTGGAGCCTACAGGCTCTGAGACCAGAGGTAACCTGTCCAGTGAAATGAAGCTCCTCAGCTGTCTCCGCAGCTCACACTGGATCCCCAAAACCACCTGAGAAAATACACAAATACATGAAAGTGGTTAACAAAAGGTATTACAGAGGTTTAAATGGACTTTGAGAGGTAAAGTAAAAGTCTCATCCATGATAGATGCATTTTTACAGCAGACATTTAGACTTAGTCATGACATGAAAACTACAGGTTTTACTAATAACATTTTAAAAGACGGCTCTGTTCCACTGGAGTGCTGTAGTGACCTTCTGTCAGTGAGGCAGCGTCACAGAAACACGTCCTTCAAGACAAATTTACAAATTTACAATTCATTTGAATTCATAAAAAAAATCACCAGTGAATTTCCTGCTATGACTTGAAATGGCTGCTGTGAAAATTGTTTATTCAGAAGTGATAAAAACATATTTTTTATAGTGTCTTTTTGATTTAAAAAACACTGTCCAAATTAAGTCCAAGCGAACTGTAGTTAAAAAAAATAGTTTTTGTTTTATTTGGTAGAAGAGTCTTTTACACAACAGGGACACATATTAATCGCATTAAAGATGCTATATACAAGTTTTCTCTGTTGCAGCAACAGAGTAGCAACTGCTTTGGTATTTGTAAGAGCACTTTTTATGCACAAATCTTCCTTACGAAGACAACGAGAATCGTTTACCAACATGCTAACTAGCTTTCAAAGCTCCTCAGACTACGGTTTGTTGTTGTGCAGCCCTCTCCTACTGTGTAACGATAGACAGATGATTCATCCAACCAATCTTTGCAGCACTAATATTTATATTGGTAAACGATCTAATTGTGAAAGTGGTGTATATTTCAGCCGTTTTGCTCATTTGGATCAACGAATAAAGTCACAAAACAGTTTAGAGCATCTTCAGGACTGATGGCCCCCAACCATATGAAGGCTTCAATATTAAACAAACAAATAAATAAATAAGCAATTATGAATTAAACACTGCATGAATAAATTGTGTAAAATGTAAATGAACCAATATTTTGTGAAATCATTTTTATGAAATATAATTTTATCATGATATTAATATTAACAGTTTTACAGGGTTTTTTTGGACCCAAATACCCATTTGCGTTCCCGAGTTTAGTTTTTACTACATTTTTTTTTAAATGACATGTCATCTCCCCTCACCTTTCAGACAGTCACATCCCCCCAGCATCTCTTGAGCAATCTCAATTTCTACCACCACATTTAGCCAGCTAGCTAAATGACTAATGACTAATAACACACCTCCTATTCTGACACTACTGGGTACCACAACCCATAAATTCAATGATCATGCAAGGTAAGATATGTTGAGTGGGCTTAGTCAGTTACAATATGTGAACACGGCCAAGGTTAAAATGACTCATCAAAAGTATTTAATTGTTCTACTGAAAGAGAAAAGACAGATAAAAGTAACAAACATATATGTGGCATGAGAAAACTGAACTATAAAAACATGGACACAAGGTTAGAGCTAGGAAAGAGTCTTGTTCCTGCAGCTGACGGGGGTTTTTAGTGGTGAAAAGCTCACCTTGCTGGAGTCCCAGTCCTGGGTCTTGGTCTGGGTCTTCATCAGTTCGTATGTTTGTTCCATTCTGCCCACCTCAGGCTTTGGGAAGCCTGGGACAACATTATGAAGCTGGAAACCAAATAGCTGCAGCCAGCTACCGATGTCTGGAAAAAGACACACACACATGTACAGACAGAGAGAAAATTGCACAGAGGGAGAAAAGTTAGAATATAATGTGTATACTGTGAAGCAAACAAAAAGTCATAAGGCCAGAGAAACAGCACCTTGTACAGGAAATCACACAATATTTGAGCATAATACGCAGCTGAGATGTTTCGGCTGGTGTTTCTCTCACAAACAGATTCCTTCTGTAATAAACAATACTGCTGCAGGAAAACGTGACAGGCCAAATGAATGTTCCATTAACCAGAAGGACATACGCCCCCGGCAACATCCTATATTCATCCTCCTACTCTCCTATTCCATCTCTTTCCCTTGCTTGAGTTTCTATTTTGTCTCTCGGGGAAACAGTATGTTCTTGACAGACAGAGGGAACAAAACATAACAGCCTGTGTTAAAAAACAAGATGATCACAGGCATGGCTGTCCTTTCTGTTGCCAGTATTTTCTGTCTGTCACATCTTTTCTCTCTGTAACACAGCTCACCTGTGGTTAACTGTGGGCCCCGTTCACTCGCTCTTTATGGCAGATGTCTCTTGTGTAGGTGTGTTTGTGTGGGAGTAGGTGCCGCTGAGAGAAATATCAGCCTGTATCTGTGTG